TCAAGCCTACTATGTAACTCAGGACAACCCTGAACTCATGGACTTTCAGCCCCTTCCTCCCAGCTCCTGAGATCATAGGTCCGTACCTGCATATCTGTCTGCCCCGTCTTTGTGAACTCATCCTTGGCTTTGGTGATGCTTTGAGGGCATCCAGCTCCAGCTCTGCACAGGCTCCTCTTAAGCCTCTCCTTCACTCCAAAGTGTGAGGGCATGCTTGATTCTGTTGTTTCTGCCAGCTTTGATTTGTTGTTTGCACTTTGCAAAAACATTGTATTCCCAAAGCCTTAAGTGAATTTAGTTTCCTCCCTAACATTTGGGTCACACATTTGTGTAAGTACTTGCGTCTTTGTGTTTGTGCAAAGGTGTAAGGAGTAGGTTTTTCCTCCTGCCTCTGGTCTTGTCCCGCTGCTGAGCCAGCCCCAATTAACACACAGACTCTCTCTGTATTAGATATAATGCCGTTGGCCAGTTACTTGTTTCTTATCGGCTGGCTCTGTCTTAAGTATTAGCCCATTTCTGTTAATCTAATATCTCCACATGCTTTTATCTTACCGGGGAATGGGGCCTGTGTCTCGTTTCCCCAGCCTCTCCATGTGTGAGTGAGAGAGAGAGAGAGAGAGAGTGAGTGTGTGTGTGTGTGTGTGTGTGTGTGTAGAACTCAGAAGTGAGACCTGACATGAAGTGCTTTTATTCATTGAGCCAACTCGCTGTACCCTTCCTGTGTCTTTGAGACAAAGTCTCACAATAGTCTGAAATTTTCCAGTCAGGCTAGGTGGCTGTGTGGCCCCAGAGATCTGCCCATCTCAGCCTTCCCAGCAGTGATCACAGGTGAACCGCCATGTCTCCTGGTCTTTGTGTGGGGGGATTGTTGTTTTCAAAACAGGCTTTCTCTGTGTAGCCCTGGCTGTCCTAACTCGCTTTGTAGACAAGGCTGGCCTCACAGAGATCCGCCTGCCTTTGCCTCTGCTGGGATTACAGGAGTGCACCACCATCATCCAGCGTACCTTTTTTCCTGATGTGGGTTCTGGGGATTGACCTCAGGACATTTGCGCTTCACCTGCTGAACCCCTTTCTCCAGCCCCAGGTCAATCATTTTAATTTTATTTTAAACACATGGGTGTTGTTCTTTTGCTGCAGCTATTGCCTATGAAACACAAACACGAGACTCAGCGCCCACGTGGAGTTTATTGAGAGAGGGGAGAGAAAGGGGGGTAGCTGGTGGCCAAATGAAAGCAGGAGAGCGAGAAAGAAGAAAGAGAGAGAGAGGAAAGAGAGAGAAGGCAAGAGAGAGGCGCACTTGGTGTGCTTGCTTCAGAAGGGAAATTTGTGCATGCGTAACTGAGTTCCCTGGCAGCCAGGTAAAGCTTGAGCAGCCAGGTAAAGCCTGCTGTAGCCATGACATGGCCATGAGGGTCTGCCCCATCGTCGGGGGCGGGGTCAGCAGGCTGCTGGTTCCCAACAATGGGGGATTTGCTTGTATGTATGCCTGCAAACCACTTGTGTGTGCCGGTGCATGTCAGGTCCCCTGGGACTGGAGTTAGTGACTGCATCATGAGCCCCCATGTGAGTGTTGGGAACCAAATGGCGGTCATCTGGAAGAGCATCAGGTGCTGAGCCATTTCTCCAACCCTAGATTGTTTTAAAAGTCAGATCCGAGTGTGCTGTATTCCCCGCACATAACAGATGCTGTTGTTTCATATTTGGACAGTTGACTTTCTGTATTTAGTACGTCCTTCTGGTTGTGAGGCAGGGCCTTACTCTGTATAAATTTACACACTGTCCTGCCTGAGCGTCTGAGGTGCTGATCTTACAGGTGTGTGTGACCACATCTATGTAACCATCTGCCTTTTGAATGGAGTCAGCTTCACTCAGGGAAAGTGTCTGTTCCAGAGCTCAGCTAGGAACAGTCCATTCTGACAGTGGTTCCACATGGGGTATCATTACGCAGGCTGACTGGAGCCTCTCCAGCCCTTGGTTTCCAGACAGAAGCCACCGTGGCACACCTAGCTTTCTAGGCAGTTTCCTAAGAGGTGTGTCTTTGAGGGGTCTATTCCGAATATCACGTATAGCCTTTCTTCCTTTTTAGTCGTGTGCAAACATGCAGGTGCCCGTGGTGGCCACAAGAGGGTGTGATATGCCATACAGCTGGAGTTATGGCTTGGAGCCATCCAGTGTGAGTGCTGGGGTCTGAAGTCTCATCCTCATGATAGAATAGAGCAGCAAGAATTCTTCACCCTGCACCACCTCTCCAGCTGCTCGCGTATATACCCTTATGCCAGCAATGAGTAATTTGACTTTGGTTCTCGGGTCTTTCCTGTAGGTTGCAAAAGCGGGCTGGTCCCTGGAGGATGTTGACCTGTTTGAAATCAATGAAGCCTTTGCAGCCGTCTCTGTTGCAATAGCCAAAGAGCTCGGATTAAACCCCGAGAAGGTAGCCACATGACCTTGCACAATCCATGTTTAAGGTTGTAAAAAGCAAAGGATCAGGTTATTTCTCAGGACTGGTCACCTTGGCAAGAGATGAACAAATACTATTTAAGTTTCAGTTGCCTTTTGTTGTTTTTCACAGCAAAGAACTGAGTGTGTTAGCTCACAGTGAACAGAACATTCTAGAAACAAGGGAACCAGCAGGTGTCACAGGCAGAGTTTACTCCTAAGCTTCACAGTGAAAGTTGAAAGAGGGGTTTCCTAGCATAACCCTGAGAGGAGGAAGGTGAACTGGGTGAACTGGGGGTGTCAGCCTGTGTGCACACAGGCCTGGCTTAAAGATCCTCTCCTTTCCTGCAGGTCAACACGGATGGAGGAGCCATCGCCTTGGGCCATCCTCTGGGAGCGTCTGGCTGTAGGATCCTAGTGACCTTGTTGCACAGCCTTGAGAGGACGGGGTGGGACTCGTGGGGTGGCAGCCCTGTGCATTGGGGGTGGCATGGGGATAGCAGTGTGTGTTCAGAGGGGATGACCTGCCTGGCAGCCATCGTCCTGGGACAAACGGTTCTTGTTAAAAGGGAACTCAGAGGACCAAAGTGAGGACAGGAGTCCAGGTGCACAGCGTTGTACTTTAATGTGAGATGCCCAAGGCTAAGACATTGCACCGGAGGCTGCTATAAATTAAAGGGAAATCCATCAGTCATCAACGGGCCCCAGAGTGAACAGCATTTTCATAACTTCCATGTTTACTGTCTTTAGTTTCTGGGTGTAATGGTCTCTGATCATTGATTTTTTTTTTTTGTTTTTGTTTTGTTTTGTTTTGTTTTTGAGATTATTTGGTAGATCAGGCTGGCTTTGAACTCCCAGACATCTACCTGCCTCTGCCTCTGCCTCCTGAGCACAGGCATGCGTGCCATCATGCCTGGACCCCAAAATGACCCATTCAAAAGAATGGGGACTGGGGCTTCTGTTGCAAACTTGAGGCTCTTCACTTTCACTGTGGTTGGCCCAAACACCCCTGCCTGCTTGTTGTCTCGTGGTTTCCCGTTGATCAAATCAAGACCAATCCTGTAATGATGAAAGTGTGATTGATTCAGTGACCAATCTGATGTGGTGTGTTCCAGCTGTTCTATACCAAAAGACTGTGGGTGTTGTAGCAGGTGAACCCCTGGGAGTAGAAAAGTGAGCAGCAGACACTTTTGATGCATTTGTTCCCCCCTGCTAGTTAGTTCCTGGATAGGATGCCACCTGCTTCAGATTCCTGCCTCCGCTTCCCCGAGTGATGGACTGTTCTGGAACTGTGAGGGCAAATAAACTCTTTCCTCTCTTATGTCGCTGTTGTCAGTGGGTTTTATCATGACAAGAGAAATAACATGCTCTGCCTCTCCCTCAGGAACTTGCCCTATAGCTGTGCAAGAATTTAGCAGAAACAAGTCAAAGTTCATTTATGTGCATATGTGTGTTCCCATGTTTGTGTATGTACATTCAGAGGCTAGAGTTCCAGAGCATCAGATCCCCTGGAACCGGAGTTGTGAGCCACCATGTGTGTGCTAACACTGACCCCAGGTCCTCTGCAAGAGCAGCAAGTACTCTGCCACTGAGCCATCTCTCTAACTGGATCAGGGACACTAGGTGTAAATACAGAGCTTGAGGGAGCCAGGGGCAATGGATCCCCCTGGAGCTAGAGGTTACTGATAATTGTAAGAAGATGTGGGTGCTGGGAATTGAACTCCAGGCCTAGGAAATCTAAACGGAGAGACCCAATCTGCTCATAAGCAAATAGGGTTTCAGGGTTGTCAGTATGATAGGCGGTGACTGGGATGGACATGTTTCCCAGGGAGCTGCTGCAAGGTTGGTAAGCGGCAGTCAGTCAACCCACAAAGGGGACAGGGGAATGGCCACAGAGTAGGGGGGGGCATGGAATGGAACAAGCTACACACAGTAACTGACACTTGGTAATCAGCAACGGGCTTTGTGTACTCACTGTGCAAGAGTCACCCATGGTCCTAAGGGGTCTTCGGTGAAGAGAATTCACAGAGCACCTTCCAGAGGTCGGGGTCCCATCCTCAGCCCTGGGGCTCTCCCCTTGACTAGTGAGCTGATGTTTACAGAGCACAGGCACACTCAGAAGATTCTCCAAGTCCCCTCCCGCTGGTCCACACTGTACCGAGCACCCTCTGGCACGGGACAGGTTTCGGGAATTCTGCCAGGGGAATTGTATTCGCAGCTGAAGCAGGGGTAGACTTCTCACTGCTTCAAAAATACACAAAAACAGAACCCATGATGTGAATGCGAAAGGGGACTACAACCCTCACAAGAACAGAGAAAGATTCGAGGGGTGTGCCCCATGTGTCTGAAGTCCACAGCCTGAGACTTTCCCCAATACCTCGGCCTTTTGCACGCGGATCGCTCCCAGCCCAACCTAGACACCAGGAATCCCCAGGTCTCTACCCCATCCCAGACCTTACACCACAAGGACGCCCACGGACTCAGCCCCTGAGCCTGGGAGGTGCCAAGGGTGCTGGGGCGGGGCGGGACGGGAGGTCAGAAGGCTCAGTCCCCAGCTCAGCCCAGACTGAGCAAAGTTTTCCTCAATTGCAGCCAGAGCTGTGCAGAGGCCAGCGAAGCGGCAGGATGAACTTAGGCTCCGACCCCGTGGTCATCGTCTCTGCGGCGCGGACCGCCATAGGTGGGTGTCCCCTGGCCTCGCATCCGCTACCCGGCAGGTGTGTAGAGTACCTGGCCTATTGCCTGCTTGCATACTGGCTCGTCGGTCACTCATCGGTGTCCCGTGCCAGGCACTGGTGGTCTGAGCTCAGGCTCTGGGAAGTCCTGGACTTGGGGAAGCTTTATTTTAAAGTTCCCATTGCATGTGGCCCCTGCCTACTCCTCGGGGATGCTCAGTGTGCTCTTGGCTCACCTGCCGTCCCTCTTCCCCGTTCCCTTGGAGGCTCCTTCAACGGTGCCCTGTCTACTGTGCCAGTCCACGACCTCGGGACGACTGTCATCAAAGAAGTCCTGCAGAGGGCCAAGGTGGCTCCAGAAGAGGTGTCCGAGGTCATATTTGGACACGTTTTGGCGGCAGGTAACTCCTCAGTAACCCCAGGAGTGATCAGACACACACACACACACACACACACACACACACACACACACACACACACAGAGAGAGAGAGAGAGAGAGAGAGAGAGAGGGGTCAGGCTCATTAGACAGACCATTTATTCTCTCTCTCTCTCTCTCTCTCTCTCTCTCTCTCACACACACACACACACACACACACACACACTTCCCTGGTGATCCCAGACCACCCATCTGTGCCTCCTTTTTCTTGTTAGAAGCAAGGCCAGCCTGGTGCAGGGGAGAATATGCACAGTCCTCCACACACCCCTAAAATGCCACACACCTCTTAAGCCAAGACACCTTTCCCGGTCATGGAAGAAGCATTAACAGTAACTATTAAGCAATTGTCATGCTAGCCAGTTAATGACAGTGGCCCCTTTGACATCAACAACTTGGAGAACAAAATTAACTAATAAGATTAGGACTGGGAGGGAGAGAGGGTGGGTAAGGGTACGGATTAAGTATTAGATGGACTTTGAAAGGAGAGTATGGGTAGGAAAAAGTAATTCGGACTTTGAAAAGGTAGCCTGGGTAAGGCTTAAGGATTAGATTGACTTTGGAAAGAAAAAAAAAAAAAAATGGAGGCGAGTAGCTAGGAGGGAGCGTTGAGACAGTTATGGTCCGTACATGAGAGTCTGTTACAGCCGCAGAAGGCTGTAAGTAAAGAGTAAAAGCGAGACAGCTGGAGAGATGGCTCAGTGGGTAAGAGCTCTGCTACTCTTCCCAAGGACCCAGGTTCAATCCCAACACCCACATGGCAGCTCACAACTGTGTGCAACCCAGTTCCAGGGAATCAGACACTCTCATGAAGATGAGATGCCAATGCACAGGAAATAAAAATAAATACATAAAAAAAAAAAGGCCTGGTGGAGGCGGCATCTACAGAGTGAGTTCTAGGACAGTAGGACAGTCAGGGCTCCACAGAAAACCCTGTTTCTAAAAGAGAGAGGGAGGGAGGGAGAGAGAGAAGGAAGGGAAGAAGAAGCTAAGGACATAGGAATATGAGGGACTGTGTATAAGAGGTTTGCAAAGAGTAGAGTAGACTGGGTAAACAAACACAAATAAAAGGCCTAAAACCCAACTGAGCAGGATACAGAAAGAGCAAAACCACCGTGAGATGTGCAAATTAAGTAAGAGAGAAAGAATACAGTGAATTGCTGGCCCAGCTGGGCTGAGCTGAAGGAATGGTCAAGTCCTCAAGTCCCTCTGGCTGTCTGGAGCCTCTGGGATCTGCAGCCTCTGTTCTGATGTGGGAAGGGAGATTACAAGGGAGATTACGGTAGTCTTTTCCTGTAACTGTCTCCAGCTGCACCCACCATTCCACTGTGGCCTTCCCTGGCCCTGCGCCTCCTGGGTGTGCAGGGAATGCAACTTCCCTGTGTTCTTATGTAGACGTCTGCACTGGCCTGCCTTTGGAAATCGGACAGGACACACCCTCAGCTGCTGCCACTAAGAGCATCATCACATGTGCATATTCACTATGTCCCCTTTTAAAAGGGCCCCGCCCACCTCCCATCCTCTCTCTGTCTCCCCCGCCCCCGTGTGTGTGTCTGTGTGTGTGTGTGTGTGTGTGTCTGTGTGTGTGTGTGTGTGCGCGCGCGCGCGCGCGCGCGTGCGCTCGCGTGCCTCTTTTTCCTCTCTCACACTACTCCTGTTGCCAGAGGCCAGCCTCCAGCCTCCCCTTTCTCCTTTTTACAATCATTTTCCTGTGATAAAAATGCAGCCTTCTGCTTGAAGCTTGTCACATGGCATCCTTCTCTTCTATGCCGCTTTTAAAAAAAAAAAAAACTACAACACCCTGGCCTTCTGATACTTCAAAAAATAAAAAAAGAAAGAAGAGAAGAGAGGGAGGGAGGGAGGAAGCAAGGAAGAAAGAAAGGAAGGAAGGAAGGAAGGAAGGAAGGAAGAAGGGAAAAGATTTATTGTGTATACAGTGTTTTGCCTACATGTATATCTGCAGGTCATTACAGATGGCTGTGAGCCACCCTGTGGATGCTGGGAATTGAACTCAGGACCTCTGGAAGAACAGCCATCTCTTCAGCACAAAAGCATGATTTTATATACAATTTGTTACATACGCTTTGCTCACAGAATAACGAGTAACAAACCCCTTTCTTCCTGGGTGTCTTAATGCAAAGCTTCTAGGAGCAAATGCTCTCCATGTCTGAATTATACCTTGTGTGTACAGGCTGTGTAACTAGCTGGCTGTCACCTTTGGTCTTAATGACATTCCTTGTCAACTAGGAGGAAAAGTCGGGCCCTGTAGACATGAGGTTCTGTCTTGGGTATTGGGAACTTGTTTGTAGAGGAGGAGGCTGTTGCTGAAACACCCAGCAGTCACACAAGCTGCCACCTGTCCCGGGCCTAGGGTGGCAGGCAGAAAGGGAGGCAGGTATCTGTGCTGCTGTGAAAACTTAGCTGGCCTGAAGGCATGACAGAGGCCAGGCCATCTCCTCCGGGGCATTTAGCCCACACTTGTTCCCTGCTTTTACCTTTCTCCTCGATGGCCTAGAGGCTTCTGTGTTCCTCATTCCAGGTTGTGGGCAGAACCCTACTCGACAAGCCAGTGTGGGTGCAGGGATCCCCTACTCGGTGCCAGCATGGAGCTGCCAGATGATCTGTGGCTCAGGCCTCAAGGCCGTGTGCCTGGCAGCCCAGTCCATAGCCATAGGCGACTCCAGCATCGTGGTTGCAGGAGGCATGGAGAACATGAGCAAGGTAAGGAGGTGCAGGGGAGCCCCCCCCCCACCCCTGGCCCAGGGCACGAGGGGAATGACTCAGTATGGACCTCCCTCTGTGCATGTTCACTGTCCTCCAGGCTGGAAGAGAATCCTGTATGCTGAGCATCCTGTCAGCCAGGCAGTGGAGGCAGAGTATGCTTTTTCTAAGCTGTAGTTCCAGAAACATACAGTGTTTTCTGAAGTGAAGCCACAAGATTGGATGGTTTCAGCCAGGGCGTTGGTGGTGCACACCTTTAATCCCACCACTTGGGAGGCAGAGGGAGGTGGGTCTCAGTGAGTTCTAAGCCAGTCTGGTATGCAGAGTGAGTTTCAGGACAGTCAGAGCTGCACAAATTCATCCCCCCCCCCCCAAAAAAAGGAGCAACCGCTTCTGCCTAATATTCTGGTTAGGTCCCCAGATTTTCCAAATGAGAGGCCGCCAGGCTTTCCATTTCTTGGGAGGTTGTTTCCCATCATGCCCCACTGTCATTCTTCGTGTGTGTGTGTGTGTGTGTGTGTGTGTGTGTGTGTTTGTGTGTATATGTGTGTGTATATATATATATATATGTATGAGACGCTGGGTGTGGTAGCGTATTAGAGTATAACTTTAATCTCAAAAATAAATATAATAAATAAAATGAAAACCATTTTATACTCACATTACTGGGGGATGGGCACATGACCCCAGACTCAGGTGGAGGTCAGAGGACACCTGCTGGGTGGAGTCCCTCCTTCCTCCAGGTGGGTTATGGGGACTGAACTTGGCTCATCACACTTGGTGCAAGTGCCTGTGCCCACTGAGCCGCCTCACTGAAACTGCATTCATTTGTTTTCTTTTCTTCCCCGTTCATTCATTCATTTCCTTGGTAAGTCAGGATTTCTCTGTGTACCCATGCAACTCGCTTTGTAGACCAGGCTGGTCTGAAACTCAGAGATCTGCCAGTCAGTGCCCCTCCAGTGATGGCGCTAAGTACCATGTCCTGCATATTTCCCCCCTTTTAGATGGGGTCCTGTGTAGTTTGGACTGTGCTAGAACTCCCCATGTACTCCAGGTTGGCCTCAGATTCACAGAAACCCACCTGTCACTGCCCACACTGGTGTGGGCACTACCTTTTTTGGAGAGATTAATCTAAACGTTCTTTGAACAGAGTGGCACAGTGGACTCCTAAGCTCTGCTGTTCAAAATCCCTAGTTCATCCTCGATTGAACTTCAGAGAGAATGTCTCCCACAGCTGAAAGTCTTAGGCCACTGAACTCAAGCAATTCAGAATTCTGTGCATCTGGATCGGCCTGTTCCTAGACACAGCTCATCAGTCCAGAGAACAGTGCATCCCAAGACAATATTCTGCTTTCGACTAGGAGCCAGAGCTCAGGACCAGCCTAGCTCACACAGCAAAACCTTGTCTCAGAAACCACCAGAAAGAATCTGTAGACCTGCACCCGGGCTGTGGTGTCTGATCACACCAGCTAATACGGCGTCAGTGCTGTTTTTCCCAACGTACAGGGTTGAGGGAGAAATAGAAACGAGCAACTTACAGAGGGATAGATTGGTAAGAGAAGGCAGGTGGGACTGTGCTAATGCCAAGAGGCTTCAGGCCCTGACCTGGGGGAGCAGGTAGTGGGGAGAAGGGCTTGATGCGGGAATGAAGAGGAGGGAGCGCCGTCCGGGCCATTCTGAGTCTGCGCTGCATCCTCAGGAGGGGACTGATGACGACCAAGTGTAACCCTGTTCTTACTTCTTGTTTCCAGGCCCCTCACCTGGCTCACCTGAGAGCAGGAGTCAAGATGGGTGAGCTGCCACTGGCTGACAGCATCCTCTGCGATGGTCTCACAGATGCGTTCCACAACTATCATATGGGCATCACAGGTGAGGCCAATGTGGCTTCCAACACTGGCTTCAGAAAGGCTGACAAGAGCTTGTGCCTGTGAGGCTGTTAGCACAGGCTCTGAGTCTGGAGGGCATCCTGCTTAGCTGTTATGGTGTGGTAGTGAACAGGTGTAAGCCCACCGCCTGGTGATGTCTCTGCGTGTGTTTTTATGTGTGTTTCTCTTTGTACAGCATGTGGGTCAGGGAAATTGAACTCAAATCAACTGTCTTGACCAACTATTCTGTTTCATTGGCCCAAGAAAGGGTTTTTTTTGTTTGTTTGTTTTCTTTTTAAACATTTTATTAGATGCTACTCTCATCTCTAGACAGTTGTCCTAGCTGTCCTGGAAATCACACAGATCCATCTGCCTCTACCTCCCAAGTGTTGGGATTAAAGGTGTGCACCACCACATCTGTCTTTTTAAGACCAACTAATACAATAGGCACTAGGTGAGCTAAGAATTAGTACATATGTTAAATTTCATGGTTGTTTAAAAAACGTTTTAAAGTTTGTATGTGTGTGTGCATGGGCACACATTATGTAAGTACCAAAGTGCACGTCTGGAGGTCACAGGTCAACCTGTAGTAGTCAGTTCCTCCCCCCACTCTATGGAATCCAGATCTTCACGGTTGGCAGCAAGCATCGTTATCACCTGCCCTGGTTCAGTTTTTAAACAACCCCTTATGTAAATCATTTGTCCAGGGGAACGAGTATACAGTGCAATTATAATTCATAGGGAAAAGCGAATTGTATTTCCATCTTTCCCTCCGGTGGATAGGAAAGAGATTGTTCACATAAATGGGGCAAAAATATCAATGGTGAATCTGGTTACTGATTTCTGGAAGCTTACACTTCCATATATAGAAAGAGAAAGAAAATGAATGCCTCTCAAGAGGCATTACAGATTTCATGTCTGCTGCAGTCAGGGCTGCAGCACCAGGCCTTAGAGCCCTGCCTGTCCTAGCAGGAGGCCTGACACTGCGCATCGGTAATTCTTGTTTAAATGTGAGTAGCTTGAGCTACCAACACCCAGCCCATGAATATGCCATCTGCCTTTTCTTCTCCTCAGCTGAGAATGTAGCCAAGAAATGGCAAGTGAGTAGAGAAGCCCAGGACCAGGCTGCAGTTGTGTCCCAGAACAGGGCAGAGCATGCCCAGAAAGCTGGCCACTTTGACAAGGAGATTGTGCCAGTGTTGGTGTCTTCCAGGAAAGGTGAGTATGGAGACCCCAGCAGACATGAGCCTGTCTGTAGGTATGAGTACCACAAGGACGGTACATAGGGATGTTTGTGAACTTTGGTCTTTACAAGTTAAGATGTAGGCGTTATACATCTCAGTGTGGGAGAGCAGATGCGATGCGTTCTTTTGAGACATGGTCCTGCTGTGTAGCCCTGGATGGACTGCAGCACACTATATGGACCAGGCTTGTCTCCTCCAGTTTCTGCCAGCTGAGTTCTGGGACTACAGGTGAGCTACCACACCTGGCTGGAGAATGCTGTCTACAGGGGATATGGTGACATGGGAAACTGTCATCTTCAGATTGTCCCCAGCTGCAGTGTGTATGCAGCGGGTTCCATGAGGAGTGTGTGTGTGGTTGTCAGAAGACACAACTCTCACACACAGTCTAAGTAAATTGGAGGTACACCTCACCTCCCATATGCAGAGGATGCATCGTGTTAGGTTACTGTCCATGATCTGAAGCAGAGACTGCAGACAGTTCCCTTATCAGTAGCTGACCTTCATGTCCAGCTCACACAAGGTGGGCTCTTCCACTCCTGAGCACTCGGTTGTAGCCAGCTAAATGTAATGACTCAGACCCATGTGCATACATACAATAACCTGTGTCCCTGGGAAGGCCTGTGCATTTGGGACACTGTGAGACTGTCTCAGGAAGAGTTCTCATGGGGTAGCGTGCAGTACTTCTAGAAATTTGCTACTGGAATGAAGAGGGTAAATGTCAATAAACCTCTCTTCCAAATGGGAATCCTCTTGTTTGAGAAGTCCCCAGTCCCGGCTGCTTCTCTGGACTCATCCCGGGCAACTGCTCTTCCTTTCTGCAGGTCCTACTGAAGTGAAAATTGATGAGTTTCCTCGCCATGGGAGTAACATGGAAGCCATGGGCAAGCTAAAGCCTTACTTTCTTTCTGATGGGACAGGAACAGTCACATCTGCCAATGCAACAGGTTGGATTTCTGAAGGGAAAAGTACCAGGTTTGGTGGGGTCTACCAAGTGTTTCTTTGTAGTGGCATCTTGCTTTGCCAGTGAACTTGCAATGGTAGTCACATCCTAGGGGCAGACATGACCCCTGATGAGAAAGAGGAGGGGCTTGTGCTGTTTGTGGTGAGGACTGAGAATTTGTGGACTTAATTTAAACCCCACCATCAAATCTTTCTAACAAAGTGATTGATTCCTAAAGCTGGGTTTAGGGGAAAGCTTGTCCTTTCTATATTGCCCATTATTTACTTGATTTTCTTTCTTGACATCCAGACTAGACATACAAGTGAAAATCGCAAAATTAAAAACTGCAGAGTGGGGTGGGGGGGGTGGAGACAGATGCGTTGTGAGATGTTGGAGTTGTCTGACAATGTTAAGGAAATATATCCATTTAGAGATGTGTCTATTTCTAGCACTTAGGTGGCAAGGGCATGTGGATCTCTGTGGTTTCAAGGTCATCCTGGTCTACATAAAAACATTCCTGGCTAACTAAGGTTACACAGTGAATCACTCTCTGGAAAAAAAAAAAAAAAATCTATATTCATTCGCTACCTACTTCTCCAATTCCAGGATTTCCCAGTATCTTTGAGTAAGGCCTTGGCTTGTTGTCTTTCATCTTCACTCCTGTGTTTCCATAGCTACACTCACACATATGTCATAATGTGAGTGACATCGTACCCCAAACTTGACCCTTTTGGGTGAAAATGGTGACCCTGGGTACACACCTAAAGAGTACCGTGGAAACCAAGTCTCCTGTTTACAGGGATGAACGATGGTGCCGCTGCTGTGGTCCTTATGAAGAAGACGCAAGCCGAGAGACGGATGCTGAGACCTTTAGCAAGAATAGTTTCCTGGTCCCAAGCTGGCGTGGAACCTTCCATTATGGGAGTAGGACCAATTCCAGCCATAAAGCAAGCTGTGAGTGTCTTTAGCAACTGTGTATGTGCCTATAGGCAGGCACACGTGTGACTGGGTTCAGGAAGCCCAGAGTACTTTCAAAGCAAAGGATGGTCTTGAACTTCTGCTCCTCTTTCTGGTCCCTTCCCAAATGCTGGGGTTTGGGATGTGACCTCAACTGTGAAGTCACTGCTGCTGTGGATGTAGGTGGGCCCAGCAGGCTGTTCTGTAGTAAGCAGAGTTGGAAGCCCTGGCTTGTGAGGCTGTGCTTTACCTGGTTTCATTAGCTACCCCATTGCCCTAAGACTGACCCACCCCACCCTCTTAGCGCTGGGATTACAAGTGCACATCTCCGTGCCTAGCTTTCTTAAAATGTAGTTCTGGGCACTGAACTCAGGTGCCATGCAAAGCCCTTTACCAGTTCAAACTTTTTGAAATACCAGATCTAAATGTACTGTACCACCCTAACAGGGAAGTCAGGACTTTCTACCTTAGGATAAAGTACAACCCTCTGGTTGAGGCTGGGCCTTGCTCTACATAGCCCAACCTGACCTCCAATTTCGTCGTTCAGTCTCGCTTCTTAAATACCTAGAGTACAGATGTGCCACCCTACCTAGGTAGAGTAACGTCTATACTGTGGTGTGTCCCTAAGAGTCCATCATAGTGCTCTTCAGGGAATATTACGTATGTAGACTGGTCTTACCTTTTGAGCTCTTGGGACAGACAAAGGCCACCATGGCACACCACCTAACTATGGTTTTCAGAGTTCCATACATTGTGTATTTGTCAGTAACTAATGGTTTTACTTCAGTTGATTTTTTTCTTATAGGTTGCAAAAGCGGGCTGGACCTTGGCAGATGTTGACCTGTTTGAAATCAATGAAGCCTACGCAGCTCTCTCTGTTGCAATAGCCAAAGAGCTCGGATTAAACCCCGAGAAGGTAGCCCACATGACCTTGCACAATCCATGTTTAAGGTTGTAAAAAGCAAAGGATCAGGTTATTTCTCAGGACTGGTCACCTTGGCAAGAGATGAACAAATACTATTTAAGTTTCAGTTGCCTTTTGTTGTTTTTCACAGCAAAGAACTGAGTGTGTTAGCTCACAGTGAACAGAACATTCTAGAAACAAGGGAACCAGCAGGTGTCACAGGCAGAGTTTACTCCTAAGCTTCACAGTGAAAGTTGAAAGAGGGGTTTCCTAGCATAACCCTGAGAGGAGGAAGGTGAACTGGGTGAACTGGGGGTGTCAGCCTGTGTGCACACAGGCCTGGCTTAAAGATCCTCTCCTTTCCTGCAGGTCAACACGGATGGAGGAGCCATCGCCTTGGGCCATCCTCTGGGAGCGTCTGGCTGTAGGATCCTAGTGACCTTGTTGCACAGCCTTGAGAGGACGGGTGGGACTCGTGGGGTGGCAGCCCTGTGCATTGGGGGTGGCATGGGGATAGCAGTGTGTGTTCAGAGGGGATGACCTGCCTGGCAGCCATCGTCCTGGGACAAACGGTTCTTGTTAAAAGGGAACTCAGAGGACCAAAGTGAGGACAGGAGTCCAGGTGCACAGCGTTGTACTTTAATGTGAGATGCCCAAGGCTAAGACATTGCACCGGAGGCTGCTATAAATTAAAGGGAAATCCATCAGTCATCAAGGGCCCCAGAGTGAACGGCATTTTCATAACTTCCATGTTTATCGTCTTTAGTTTCTGGGTGTAGTTTTATCAGATCATCGATTCGAAGAATGGTGATTGCAGCTTCTGTTGCAAACTTGAGGCTCTTCACTTTAACTATGGTTGGTTCAAACACCCCTGCTTGCTTGTTGTCTCGTGGTTTTCCATTGGTCAAATCAAGACCAATCCTGTAATCGTGAAAATGTCGATTTAATGACCCCATCCAAGCTTATGTGGTGTCTTCTAGCTATTCTAGGCTCTGGGAGTAGGAAAGCTGACAGTGTAGCCGAAAAGCCTTATCTACCAAACATTTAGCAAACAGTCAATGTTGCACAATCATATTACATTCAGCCAAGTTGTGCATACAGTTTGGTGGTCAAATGACTCTTCTGCCTAGTGACAGCACAGCTATCTTGCCTATCTTGCTTGGTGTTAAGTATGCCTAAAATATGCTTCACAATGTCCTCATAAGGACCAGCTTATCTAATGACACACTATTCTGATGCTGTACTTACTATACACTGAGGGGGCAGTCAGAAAAGGGTAAAGAATAACCTACGATCCCTTCCTACAGACTACTCAGGAGTCAGAAAGGGATCCCGAGTTGACTTCTAGAACATAACAGTGCTAAAACATCAGCAGCCTCCATCAGAGTTACCAAGCAACAATGGTGCCCGCAATGTTTCAGTGTATGACAAGTCCCTTCAAGTACTTTCCTAAGGCACAGGGAGGGACAAAGATGTTGTGATGAACTTAGAAATGACCCATGGTAGTTGACAGTGGAACACAAGGAAAAGTGTATACTCACCACTTCAGGTTTTTACGTTCTGGGTTAACTTGAGCCTCATTGTGAAACGCTCTTAACTTGGCAACCAGGTCAGTGGAGTCTTGGGCAGCATTCACTGCCAGTGTGTTAGGAATAACAAGAAGAGACCTTGCAAACTCTGCAATAGCAAGCTGTTCCCGAGATCCCTAGGAAGAAAAACATGCAATGTCTCCATGCAGGTATTCTCAACAGCACCCCTGCAGCCTCTCTGAAACTACCCTTACCATGCTGGTTGCATAGTTTTCAAGGTATATGGACAGGGCAGCTTCTACAGCACCTCCACCTGGGACTACAGATTTCGACTCCAAAACTCTCTTCACCACACAGAGAGCATCATGTAAAGATCGTTCCATTTCATCACACATGAAATCATTTGCTCCCCGTAAGATGATTGACGCAGATGTACGAGCCTTGGTGCTATGGGAAAGAAGAAGTGAAGTCATCAGCATTTTTTAAAGTAACGGAAGCAGCATTCACTGCAGACACCCTTGATTAAATCCTGCTCACATTTAAACATATGGCAGCAAGAACAATGTCTAGACCACGCAGAAGAGACAAAATGTACACTTCATCTCAATTTACAATGGCCCAGTATTATTTTATCCCACGCGTATAACTGCCCCCATCACTGAGAGACTAGAGCAGCAAATAAATGGGAAAGGACTCTTTACAACAGAACCTGCATTAGTGTGTAACTTACAACAGCCACTCTTACTTTTTAATTAAGATCAGCTCATCATCACAAATTCTCTCCTGGACCACCTCTTCTGCCTGTCCCAACATTGTAGCTTCAAAAGTTTCTTCACCTTCCAAATTGGCCAGTGTGGACAGGATACTCGCTGTGTAAGAGAGTCATAGGACACACATTTGCTTTCACAATTTTAGTTTAAGTTTCCTTTTGAGAAAAGTATTATTTTAAGGGTACAGACAAGCCACTATAACACAAAACTGTCATTTTTGAGGTAAAAAATCAGTCTATTCATTTCCAACAAACTCGGCAAACAACTTTTTCAATCACCTGTGGAAAACAAAGATGGCTCTCTGAGTCCACTAGAGCACAACAAAGAGAAGGATTTAAGGTCAGTGTCAATATTTCAATTCTGGACTCTGACCCAGTCACACACATTACTAAGTAGTCTGTCTCAGGCTGTGAGAAGACATACCTCCAGAAGCTTTAGCGATACGCTTGAGATCCCTTTTTAGAACTCTTCTAACAGCCATGGCACCAGCCTCCACAAAATACTTCAGACACATATCATCTATCCCACCAGTGGTTAGAACAACATTGGCCCCGGTTGCCAGGATCTTCTGAATTCTCTCCTTGGTGATGTCTGATTCTCTACAGAGAAAAAAATTCAGTAAACCAAAATCAACACTTCAGTATTTTAAATAATGCAGCTGCTGTATGTAACTTTCACTAGCTATGCATTAAATTATATCAGCTATTCTTTCCCACTAAAACAGGAAGTTAAACCAGTTCAATTTATGTTACTTTCAAGGACTTGAAAAGTAGCATTTGCTCTTTCGTCTACAATTTGAGTTCCTAATTAAGGGTGGCAAAAAAGGAAAAGGCAAGTAAACAGAAAACAAAATCACAGTCCTTTCTGCCATCTCCCACCCAAGGATGCAGCACAGATTTATTATTAATGGAGGACTAAAGCTGTGTGAGGTCCGGTAGGACACTCACTTCGTGGAATAAGTAGTTGCGTGTTGAAGCAGCAGAAGTAACGTAAGACTAGGAAACGCAGACCCGAGAGGTGTATGAGTCATGTTAATGATAGAAGGCGAAGATGCGGTAAGGCTATGATTGTCAAAATAGTTTTTTTTTTCTTTTTCCTTTTTTTTCAAATGAGCCTGTGATGTTAACGTGAAAATGACTGGAGAGATGAAGACTCCAGAGACAGAAGCCAACGATAAGGAATCTGTCAAGGACAGACAGCTTGACCAGAAAAGTAAGTTTATGAAATTATGTTACTGGAAGGTACAGCCAAGGACTCCTGCAGCAAAATACAGGTTTTGGGCCAAGTTGGGCAATCCAAATTCATTAGTGGATAATTCATTCATTCACTCACTCACTGTTGTTAAAGACAGACTTTCTCTGTGTTGCCCAGGCTGTCCTAGAACTTGCTCTATAGACCAGGCTGGCCCAAACTCAGAGATCCCCCTGCCTCTGTCTCCTGGGATTAAAGGCATGGGCCCCCACTGCCTGGCTGTGGATATTTCTTAACAAGCTCAAATGAACCCACCAGGAGGCAAGAAAAATCTAAGCAAATATGTAAGAGTACAAATCAATTATTGAAGCTGTATTATACCCACAAAGGGGCATACTGGTCAGTCATATGACAGCAATCCCCCAGAGTAAAATGGAGTGATGTCACAGCAGCCACACATGGTATCCAACACTCGAGGCAACACTATGCTGCCCATGCTGACCACAATTCCTCGGCTTAAATGACCCCCACCTGTTTCAGACATGTAAAGCTGGGTAGGACATGCCTGGCTTGACTTCCCATCATTGTGTAACATGCTTCTACCAAGCACAAGCGTTGATTTACAAACACCTTTTCACAGGCAAGTCTCCCCACATACCTCTGTCTAATTTGGTCCAATTTCTCAGGGTCTGTAATAACCACCTGCACACCAAGCTTCATTTTTGTTTTCTGCAGGCTGAAGTCAAGACAAGCAATTTTTGCATTAACTATCCTCTTGGGCATGCCTGTAAATGAATAAAAGGTCAACTATAACAATGCTAGGGTTCATAGAAGATATATATCCTTAAAAGTATAACAAAAAATTTCATGTTATATAATAACCAAATGGAGATGGCAATGCACGACGTTAACCCTCAGGAAAAGTCCGACAGTAGCAACTGCACACAATTCCTCTCAATCTACACCCACCACAAGGAATTCTTTCTTTTAACGGCAGGGCTTCACTATGTACACAAGGCTGGCCCCTAAATTGACAGACTGGTCTAACAGTGCCTCAGTGCTCAAATTAAATGCCATGCCAACATGCCCAGTCCCCCATCACAACTATTTAAGCCTATTATGAAAAACACAGAAGAGGCCAAAAGCAAACGAAACCATCAAAGAACAATGCCGACCCTTACGTACCCTGAGATCCCACCACACAGTTGAGTGCATAACCGTTGATCAGCATGCTTTCTACCTGACTTCTCCCATGGGCTTTCAGAATATTAACAGAATTGACTGGATAGCGAGGCTGGCCTCTCATATCTGTGTATTTGACAGCAAGCACAGCATCTACCACCATATTAGCGAAGAAGTCACCATTTCTGAGACAACCGTTAAGGACAGCAGCAACAGCCTTGGAATTACTGAACCAAGGACACGAGACAATTCACCAATGGAAGACAGCACTACCACTCCAGCCAGGGTGACCTCTGGCTATGCAGCAGCAGTTTCGGTCTCTAGTAAGATCAACTTGCATTAGGTAAATTTTTAAGAGTGAAAGGGGGTAAGGACCAAATTTCAAACATTTAAGGATACATTCCAATAATCTTAGAAGACATGGATGTCTTAGCGGCATTAATCAGACAGTCTCTTCCAAGTTCGTCTGTGTTAATGATCAGGTTCTCACTGATATAGCGCACTGCTTCCCTGGCAAAGGAACGGGAAGAATATAAACACGTTGTCACTCAGAAGTTTTGCATTTCTCCACATTCAACACACTGCCCAATGTCATAGGCGATGGTTTTCTGTTCAGCCATTTCATATAGGGGGACGACACTGAGAAGTCCTCCCCCTTCAGATCATGGCACCTTTCATCTGTCCCATAAGCATAGCCACCATAATCTACTGGGAGACAACGTGGCAGTCAACTGGGAAATGACAAGTACACTAGGCTCAGTATTTCAGTATTCCTCCTGACTGTGAAGACAGAACACGTCACAACATCAAGACAGACTACAGCTATTACACAAAATAACATTTTCTTTGAACATAATCTTACTTGCAGGCAAGCCGATAGCCACTAATAACTGATGTTGGATGAATTTTCTGTTTGACCAGTTCATCTGCATTTTTCAGAAGCTCCGCTGCAATAATTACCTGTTGAGTACACACTGCTCTAAGTATTCAAGTCACCCAATATGCATATTGTATACAGAAAAAGATTAAATTATCAAGTATCTTTTTAAAAATATTTTATTTAATTCTTTCTTCTTTTTTTTCCACACGGGGTTTCTCTGTATTGTTTTGGAGTCTGTCCTGGAACTAGCTCTGTAGTCTAGGCTGGCCTTGAACTCACAGAGGTCCATCTGCCTCTGATGCTGTCAAAGGCCTGTGCCACCAAGCCCAGCTTATTTGTTCTTCCAAGACAGGCTTTCTTTGTGTAGCCCTGGCTGTCCTGGAACTCACGTTGTAGACCAGGCTAGCCTTGAACTCTGATATCCACCTTCCACTGCCTCCCACCTGCTGGGATTAAAGGCATGCACCACAATGCCCAGCTATGACCTAGCATTATTAACCAGTCAGAGTAGACAAATGAATAATAGCAGCTTGCTGAAAATATAAAATGGTGACCAATACAAAATAGTCTGTGAACTATCCCAAGCTATTTACACCACAAAAATGTTAAGAACCCAGTTCAACAGAATTTTTGTCCGTTACACTCTGAGTAAAACAAAAGCTAAATATCTAACAATTGAAATGACTTGTGCCATTCCAGTATTTTTAATTAAACCTCAAAATCATTTAAAATATGTAATGCCAAGAACCACTTTTCAGAATTAAAAAAAAAAAAAAAAATCCCCCAGAATAAGCTTGGAGGTGTTGGTATACACCTTTAGTCCTGGCACTTGGGAGGCAGGAGGATCTACAGAGCAAGTGCCAGGGCAGGTTCCAAAGCCACAGAGAAACCCTGTCTGGGGGGGCTGATGGGGAAGGTCTCCAAAAGAATTTTCCCTCTTCTTTTGAGGGGAATTAGATATTTATTAAGTCACATTAACAAAGACTACATTCGTTCATGGCAAAGTTAAAACTTTAAATAATTTAATTCTCCCTACAATCTCTTTTGATACAGTCAGCATCTTTCTCAAACAGCATTACACCAGTATGCTGGGTAACTCACCAAGTACATGTTATTAACCATGTTTGCTGAAAGCTGTGAGCACTGTATGGCAGCAAGTTAACTTCCTCAAATTTCTATTCTGAAATCCCAAGATTTCCTGCCCATGGTTAAAATTCAAAAGTATCCATTAAACAAAAAAGAAGCCCACACCTAGTAACGTTTTCTTTAAATGAGAAACTCTTTTCTACATGTAAGCATTATCTTGGCAAGGGGGTTGAAAATGAGCATCCAAATTTCCAGTATTTAAAACAAGCTGATATCCAACCACCTTAAAATGGTTTCCTATTTAAATTGTACAAAGCAGCTACAATCAGTTTTGGAAGGCTGTGAGACCGTAAACACCGACTTATTTCCCATCTAGAGCAGCGCCTCACCACTGAGGTAGTTCCATCCCCAACTTCTTTGTCTTGCAGGTCAGCCAGCTCACAGAGAACTTTAGCTGCGGGATGCTCCACCTCCAGTAGCTTCAGGATGGTGGCCCCATCATTAGTAATGGTCACGTCCTGAGAGACAGATAAGGAGGACATGGTCAACACTGAAAGCAAGCTCTGAGATGCATGGCCACCGAGAACATCGAGATATACTTACACCAATATCATCCACCAACATTTTATCCAAGCCAACTGGCCCAAGAGAACTTTTAACAATGTTGGCAATAGAAGCTGCAGCCATAACTGTAGATGAACAGTGGAGAAAAAAATTAGAACAATTCATAAACTAAGACACACCTAACCACCTATCATCTGCAATTGCTCTTTTTTTTGGAGGGGGGCACCTATTTAAGGACTAGTGAAGGTTAACTATTTCTGTTGTTGTTTCGAGACAGGGTTTCTCTGTGTAACTAGGGTTCCAAGCAGTCACGGAAGTGGCTCTATAGAACAGGCTGGCCTCGAACTCACAGAGATCCACCTGCCACTGCCTCCCAAGTGTGTGCTGGGAATAAAGGTGTGAGCCACCACTGCCCAGCTAGGTTATTTTTATTTTAGTTTGAATACTGGAATGTCACAAAGAGTTCAATGCCTTGAAAATAAGTAATCCCTGCCATTGTTCATTGCAAAAAAGATTAACTAATTTATTTAAGTTTATTTTGTGTGCATTGGTGTGAAGGTGTCAGATCTCCTGGAAGTAGAGTTAACAGACAGTGGGTGATCTCTCCAACCCGAAAGAAAAAAAAAAATTTAAGCTTTATTCCAAGCACTCGTGAGGCAGAGGCAGGTGGAACTCCTGTGACTTTGAATCCAGCCTGGTCTACAGAGTGAGTTCCAGGACAGGCTCCAAAGTTACAGAGAAACCCTGTCTGGGGAAAAGGGGGGGGGATGAAAAAAAAGGAAAATTGTAAGGTACACCTCAGCCTTTTCTTTCAGACGCTAGCGTGTTTTAATAACAATAGTGCAGTCCATCTGGGCAGTAACTGTTACTTCGGGGCGGACTTTAAATGCTTTCAAGAAACAGGTTCAACCACAGCAAGCCGCGTGATAACGAATCGATGGCGTCAGTCGTTGAGTCTGCATTCCGGGAAGTTTTAGTGGGAGCGGCTGTCAACTGCGAGGTGCGGGGGGGGGGGGAGCAGCGCGGGGACCGAACACCCGACGCTCAGTGGGCGTGCTCCCCGGCACGGGCGGAAACCGCTCTGATGGCTGCCAGGGATGCTCCCGCCCGGCCAGGCCCAGAACAAAGCGGCGGCGGGCTCGCCCGGGCGGAGACGCGGCCGCGCTTCCACGTGCCGTGCTCGAACGTTCTCCACCCCCGCGGGCGGGCGGGCGCGCGGCCGCCGACTCGGCCCGCACGGGGCCCGGGGCCTGCTGGCGGGGCTTCACCGTGCCGACGGGGCGGCCCGGGCCTAGCGATCGCGGTGCGGCTTGGGCCTCGGCCCGCTCCGCCGCGGGGCCCGGCCCCGGGTCTCCCGCCCTTACCGTTCTGGGAGCGGATCGCCTCCCCGGTGCTGCGGTCCCCGAACACGGACAAGGGGCCCTCCATCTTCAGGGAACCTGGCCAGCCTCACTGACGCCGCACGCAGCCGCGATGTGCGCTCCGAGGCCGCACGGCGGGGAACACGGCGGGGACAGGGCCGAGCCGAGCGGCGCCGCGCGGGATGCTGGGAAGCACGCCCCGCCCGCACGCGGGCCACGCTCCGCTAGCCGCGAGGCACGCCGGGAGAGAGGAGCGCGCGAGGCTGAAAGACGCCGGAAGCGAAGGGGGCGGGCCTGCGTCTTTTTTTTTTTTTTCGGTCCAATCAGAGGCTGCTGTATAATAAGAACCCCAAGTCAGGCCGCGCGGGGGCAGTGTGGCGGCGGGCTGGTTCGGGTTGCGCACGCGCGCTTATGCTTTTCTAGCGCTTTCCATGAGAAGTTGGTGGGTTCCCCCTAGGTACGGCTGGGAGCCCGCTCGCCCTTCATCTTTGCGCTCCCGTCATTGGGCTCGTACGCTAGCGTGCCCCGCCCCCCGCCTCGACGTCAGCAGTGATTGGCGGATCGGAGATACCGATCGCTCCCTCGGCCAATCAGGTCTCGGGAGATTGTTACTTCCGGGCCCCGGGGTGACCCGCGACCTGCTGGCAGCTGTAGCTTTGCCTGCAGTTAACATGGCTGCGACTCGTCGTTCTCCCGCCCGACCGTGAGCCGAGGCAGCGAGCAGGGCACAGGGGAGGCTTTGCCTGCGTCGCATCGGCGATGGCGCTCCGGCCGCGGCCCTGGAGGTGGCTGTCAGCCGGCGGGAAGCTGGGTAATTAGTGTCGCCCCACGCCGTTGCCCGTGCGCCGTGCACAGCATGTGGGGGTTTGCAGGGCCGGTTTTGCACCCGGGGTTCCGCGCGCGCACTTAGCGCACCTCGGGTGACACTTACGGGTCGGTGGTGGTAACCTGTGGTCAGACGGCCATGCCTCCCCGCTTCTGGCCCTTGTGATGGGAACGGTTGGTTAGCGCGTGCCCCTCCCGCGCCCGCTGTAGTCATTTTAAAGATCCATGCGGTCGTTTCCATTTCCTTAGAGTGTGGGTTCGCAGCCCGCTCCAACAGTTCCACGCCAGCCATTCAGCCCGAAGTGGAGAATAAGGGGAACGAAGCCGTGGCCCCAGTGTTCACCAACCGGAACCCTCGGAATCTGGAGCTCTTAGGGGTAGCCAGGAAAGAACGGGGCTGGGCTACCGTGTGGCCCAGCCGTGAGTTCTGGCACAGGTAATTCAAGTTAGCTTGTGACTGACTGACAACGCTGTGTGTGCAGAGCGCCTTACACGGCGTCTTCATCAATTACGTGACTGAGCCTGCCAGATAATTCAGGGGTTGTGTCGGGAAGATGACGTGGGAGTAGCGAGTGACCATGGAGCAAGCGATTAATAGTTGTCACGAAGAAAAACTTAAAAGATAATTCGAGAATAAGAGACCATGTACTGACGCCTCCATCTGTGAAGACGTGATCTGTCAAAAAGCTGAGATCTAGCTGGGCGGTGAAGGTGCACCCTTTAAGCCCCTGGGAGGCAGAGACAGGTGGATCTCTGTGAGTTTGAGGCCAGCCTAGGGCTGTTACACAGAAAACTCGGACTCACTAGGAGCTGGTGGCCCATGCACTCAGAGAGGCAGAGGCAGGCACATCTCTGACTTTGAGTCTACAGGACCAGGACAGCCTCCAAAACCACAGAGAAACCCTGTCTCGAAAAACCCAATCAGTCAATAAATGTTAAATGTTGTTTTGGGGGATCTATGTGGGTTAGACCTTCAGCACACAAATCAAATGTTCTGCCTCAGAACTGCACTCCTCAGCCCTAAGATGGCTATTGAAAACAATGCTTATACTAGGAGCCCTGCCTGTTGCTTTGTGTTTGTGTATTTCCTTCATTTAATTATGAAAACTACATTGCGAAGCAGGTGGAGCAGTTTCCTCCACTTTCTGTAGAGACTGAGGAATTGAAACAGAGGGAGAGATGATGGGCAAATGCTGGAGCTAGGATTCAGACGCGCACGTCACATTCCAGGTTGAAGTCCTGGGGATTGAATCTGGGTGGCCAACCTTGACAGGAAGCCACTGGGCTGTCTTCACAGCCTGGTCCCTGAATTGTTGAGAAGCACACAGGCGTCCATTCACCTGAAGCGATGTAACTTTGTTATTGTCTTTTTGTCCACTTAGGTTGCGGGTTATAAAGACTCAGCATCACATAGAAGCACTGGTTGAGCACCGAAGCGGCCAGGTGGTGGTTTCAGCATCCACTTGTGAATGGGCTATTAAGAAGCACCTCTATAACACCAGAAATGCCGTGGCCTGTGAGAGTATAGGACGAGTGCTGGCGCAGAGATGCTTGGAAGCGGGAATCAATTTCATGGTCTACCAACCAACCCCCTGGGAGGCATCCTCAGAATCGGTATTTTTTTTTTTTTTTTTTTTTTTCCTGGTTGTTTTCTAAGACAGGGTTTCTATTGCTTTGGAGCCTGTCCTGGGACTAGCTCTTGTAGACCAGGCTGGTCTCGAACTTACAGAGATCCCCCTGCCTCTGCCTCCTAAGTGTTGGGCCACCAACGCCCAGCTTAGATTCAGTATTTTTATCTCTATATACTTAAGAGATAAAAATTTGAGGGAGGCGTAGGCGGATCTCTGTGAGTTCAAGGCCAGCCTGGTCTAAGGAGTGAATTCCAGCATAGCCAGTACTACACACAGGAGAAACCCTGTCTAGAGAAACGAAAACAAACACAAAGGTAAAAGTTTGGCGGGTTGTGGTAGAAGCGGGGGCACAAAGGGAGCTCTTGAATTCAGGGCTAGGGCAGGTCAGCAATGCAACTTCTATCCAGTCAGGGACAGAGTGAGATGACCCTGTCTCAAAAAAAAAAAAGGTGGCGAGTTGGATGTTGATGACACAGGTCTATAATTCCAGGGGCTGAGGCTTGAATAACTTAGTAAGACCCTCTCTCATAATAGTAAAAGGAAAATCGGCGACTAGGGCTATCAGTCAGTCACTGATAGCTCAAGCATAAAATGCTGGGCGCACGCGCGCGCGCACACACACACACACACACGTACAGAGCTGGGGTTGCCGGAGAGCACTGCCTAGCATGTGCAGTCTAGCAAACAAACACAGACAACAGAAGGCATTTTGTTAGTTGTTGGTATTAGATATACTTAACATTATTTTCTGAGGCTATTCCATGTGTTAGGCCTGTGGCTGGGTACTGTGACAGCATTAGATTTTTGCCAGGTCTGTAGGAACTAGTGTTCCCATTCTCTGCACTGAGGTCAGTTGGTATTGGCAGGTTTAAATGCTGCAAACGATTCTCAGTTGTTCCCCCCCCCCCCTTCTCCCCTGATCTTCAAACCAGCTGAAACTTCTCCAGAATGCCATGACAGAAAGCGGTGTCGTGCTTCGGGAGCCTCGGAGAATCTACCAATGAAATGGAAACATTAACTGCTTTGAAAACGTCAACATAAAACCATCTCCAGCCATCTAAAAACAGAAAGGAAGGGAGGAAGAAAAGAAGAAAGGCGTTTGGAGAGAGAGCCAGACTGAAAGCTTCATAGCAACAATGTCACTGCAGGGTTATTTAAAGATGGCCTCTTCCCACTTGTATATGTGCTTGTGTGGTTTTGTCCTTTTAATCAAGGGCTCAACGTGAGAACTTAAGAGAAGTGGTCACCACTTAACAACCACTTAAGAACAAATTAAAATGTTTATAACAAACTACAAACCCCTGCTGTGTTACTCCCTAAACGCCCTGTGGCCAGGCATCAGGGAATTCGGGTTGCTCACTGCCCAGGATGAGGACTGGTGTTTTGCTTTGTTTTTAATGTCACTGTAACTGTAAACTCAGACATCCTGTAGTGACACACTACCTGTACCTTATACACTTCCTTGGACATACTTCCGAGTGATTTCAGGCAGAAATGAGTGTGAGGGGTAGCCAGACGGAGGTGGAAATGGTGGGTGCTGAATGTTCATTTGAGAATTCAAACCTGACTGTGGTGGCTGTGGGAAAGGCCTTAGAGTCAGACAAGGGGCTGGAGGGATGGCTCAGTGTGGCTTCGGGCTCTTGCAGAGGAACTGGGTTTCCATGACCGGAATAGTAGCTCTCAGCTGGCACTACAGTTTTAGGAAATGCAACACCCACTTGGAGTCTCTACAGGTACTAATAAAGTTATGTATTAAGAACACCATGCAGCTGGGCATTGTAGGCACATGCCTTTAATCCCAGCACTTGGGAGGCAGAGGCAGGAGGAACTCTGAGTTTGAGGCCAGCCAGGTGTACAGATCGAGTTCTAGGACAATCTCCAAAGCAATTTAGAGAAACCCCATCTCGAAAAACAAAACAACCAAGTAAACAAACCACCAAGCAGCCAGGCAGTTGTGGTGCATACCATTAATCCCAGCACTTGGGAGGCAGAGGCAGGAGGATCCATCCCCATGAGTTCAAGACCAATCTGGTCTACAGCTGGAGTTCCAAGGTGGAGTGTGCCACTAGCTAACCATAGAGGTCTGGAGGTCAGTACAGACAGACAGGAAGTGAGGTAGCTGGGCAGAAACAGGATATAAGCAGGGAGAGAGAGGGAAACGCTGTCTTTCTGCTGAGACCTCGTTAAGGAAGTAAGATGTGCTGTGGCTTGCTCCTTTCTGATCTCAGCATTTTCCTCTATATATAACTTAGGCTGTTTATTATCTAGACCAATTAAGAACTCCATTTACAACTCTGTCTCGAAAAAGTTAACTTGGATAGTAGCTTGGGGAGATGGCAGCTCTCTGAAGGTTGATGTAATATGGAATGAAAGACATGTAAATAAGGTGGCTTTTACTGCAGTTTCTAAATAATCGTTACCTCAATAGCTTTACTTTGGAGAAATATATTTTGAGAAGTCATTATTATTTTGGTTTCTCAAGACAGGCTTTCTCTGTGGTTGACCTTGAACTCAGAGATCCACCTGCCTCTGCCTCCCGAGTGCTGGGACTAAAGGCGTGTGCCACCGCTGCCCAGTGTTACTTTATTTTAAAAAAAGATTTATTTATGTGCATTAGTGCTTTTTCCACACGTTTGTGTGAGGAGGCATGATCCCCTGTAACGAGTTACAGACAACTATGAGCTGTCATGTGGGTACTGGGAATCGAACCCAGGTCCTCTGGAAGACCACCCAGTATTCTTAACTCCTGGGCCATCTCATCTCTCCAGGCCCTTTATTACTTTAGGAAAATGGCAAGTGTGCCTTTCATTTTTAGAACTGACTTCCGAGGCATTCAACATCCAATGTCACAGGAGTCACATTCTGATACCCAATGTTAGGAAGGTTTATTTTTCCTTCCCCTGGGTTAAATACGAAGTGAATCAGCTTACTTAGAAGCCCAGGTCTCTAGGAGACTGTAAGTCCGGAACTGAGGGTCTACCAGGCCACAGACTGGTGAGCGTGGAGACTGGCAGACATTTCTACAGGGTGAAGAGCACACTAGCCAGCCGACGGCGGGTAGGTACTGATCAGGATGCCTTCGCACAGCTGGTAGCTCCTGATTGCAACGGCCTTGGCCTTCACTTCCCTAGCAAGTTAAGCTAGGGTATATAACACGCAAGTTCGCACCCAACAGGTTCGTTCTGGCTGGAGCCGGCCAAGCGCGACGAGACTTAAAGCCTTGCGCAGCGGAAACGCGTGGGCAGCACGTGGCCACATCCGGCGCGCCTTGGAACTAGCGGCTATGGACGTATGCGCTGATAATTTTGAAAGTACCGGCTCGGAACTGTATGGCATTGTCAATGAATCGGAGTTCGTGAGTAAGCCGCCTGGGGTGGCAGGCCCTGGCACCAGAGTCGCCTGCTAGGGAGAGCCTGGGGACTGGATGGGGCTCATTGGACGGAGAGGAGACTTCTCCACTCCTGCAGGGGCCTTAAGCAAGCAAACCCGCACACACAGCTCCGACTTCTGTTGTCCGGTGCACGCACGCACTGCCTGGGGCATCTACAGGGTGAAAGGTGGCTTGCTCCATGCCTGAGGATCTATTTTGCTCTCCCGTAGGTCTCGACATAGAATTCACAGGTCTGCGTTCAAACTCGTCCGGGCCCCAGCAGATCAGGTACGGCTGTCTGACAGCCCAGAGAGGATCCTCACCTGTGTCTCCTTAACTAGGCCTTGCCAGACCAGCACCCTAGCCAGCAGGCTCCGGTGGTAACCAGTTCCTGATTGAGAGTAGCTGAGCCTGCCCCCAGGCCTGCCGCCTGCATCTGATCCTCTTGCCAGTGCAATGAGATTTCTTTCTTCCTTCACAGTCTCTTTGATTCACCATCTGAGTGGTATGCGAAGGCCCGGCAGAGTGTTAAGCAATTTACAATCTGTCAGATTGGTGAGTCTTTGTTACGGGTTGGTTGTGCAAGGTTTTGTTTGTTTTGGTTTTTGAGACAGGGTGTCTCTATCGCTTTGGAGGATGGCCTCTGTGCCACAAACGCCCCCGGGCTTGAATGCCCTGGTTTAAGGCTTCTTAATCTATCTGGGTTTTCTGCTGCTCCATGACCATTTCCAAAGACGTTGTATATATTTTTGTTTACCTGTTCTGTTTTTGGGTGTGCATATGCAATTCAGACTTGGAATTGTGTTACCATGCAGACCTGGTCGTGTATACAGTTCCACAGTATAAACCGCAAATTAGGACTTAGTGTCCTACATTAGCTATACCTAGTCACTGTTTGCAGTTAAATGGGTTTTCATTTCCAACAGCCTTCATTCATATTTGCACTCTGCTGCCCTTTTGTGTGTGCATCTGGGATGGTTCTGTGAGACGTGCAGAATTAGGGTGTGTGCTTTAAAACACTATAAATACCGCCAACCCTCCACAGTATTTATAGTTGTCAGTTACTAACACCAGAAACAATCAATGAGTGTGCATTCCTATTAAAACAAACAAACAAACAAAACCCCTGGGAATTAATGAGTCTGAAACCCAACTTGGGTTTTTCCAGACAGGGTTCCTCTGGCTTGGAAGCTGTCCTGGACTTAACTCTTATAGACCAGGCTGGCCTTGAACTCAGACTTCCCCAAGTGCTGGGATTAATTTTATTCTGATTTACATTTTATAATACTGGGTCACAAACTTTATGTGAAGGACTAGATAGCACCTAAGTTTTTGTGGGTGACATGATTTTTTACAAGGCCTCCCTTTGTAATAGGAATCCTCCTGGCTTTTCCAGGAACATGAATTATAAAAGCAAACTCTGGACCCTTTGTCTGGAGGTGGATATCTGTGTGTGTGTGTGTGTGTGCCCGTCTGCTTTCCCTTCTATTCTTGGACTTAATTGCTTTCTTTTATTCTTATATATTTGAAAAATACAAGAAATTGCTATTAAGGTTTTTTTTTTTTTTTTTTGTTACACTCCCAACTTTGGAAGAAGTTTCCCACGGTGAGTGGCTTGTTAGTTTAATACAGGGATTTTTAAAGAAGTCAGACCTGTTCCATTTTGAGCTTACATTTCCTTCCACCTTTTCTTCAGTCCCAGAGATTGAAAGCCTTTGCCCACTGAGCCATCTCAGAGTCCCACAGCAGAACCCAGGATGGCCTTAAACTTAGAAAAAAAAACCTTCCTGTCTTAGCCTCTGGCAAAGGATTGCAGTCAAACTCTTACCTTCCTGCCTCTGCCTCCGAGTACTGGGATTACAGGTGTGTGCCTGTAATCTTGGCTCGTTTCTTAAAGCTATGAAAATGTTTCCAAGCTACTTCAGTGCTTGGGAAACTGGCCATCATTAATTACATTCTGGTTATTTCAGCGCAAGCTGTGGTATGGCAGACTTCACGCTGCAAGTCTGCTTCAGGAAGGTTCGGGGGGCCTGGGGGCTTTTCTGCAACCCTGTCTACGGGTGCAAAGCACGGGCAGCAGTTTTTTGGTGTTTGGTTGACGTCAAGTGGCCTTGCCACGGTATTCATTACTGCCGTTGTTGTTCTAGGGTTGTCTGTGTTTTCCACCATCGAGGATGAAGTAAACCAGTATGTATAATGCTTGTACTACACACAGCTTTTCCTCCTGTCTGTGGGGCAGCTTTGCCTTGAGTGTCTGAATCACTTTGCCCTGGAAACTGACTGGAAGTAGTACTTGGTCTGTGGGGCGTGTCCTGCCCTGTGTGTGCTGACTTCTAGAGACTGAGCTGCCTGGAAGCTGCTGCAGGAGGATGACTCTGTGTGGTGGGGGTTACCTCTCTGCTGCTCTGGTTGAATTACCTGGAGCTTCTAGGTGGGCCATGGACCTATCTCTGCTCCCCAAGGACAGAGTCATTGTCTGTTTCCTCTGGCCCCTAGACAGAGCACCTAAAATACATTCAGATTTCAGTAAGCATTCAGATCCTTAAGAAACGAGAATCCAGCCTGATGTATGCGCAAGGCTGGTTTGTCTGCTTGTCCTGTTTGTTGAGGTTTCTTGTCACTGTCCCTACTTTGTAGGTATGTGGCCAATTCCTGGAACTTCTTTCTCTTCCCCACAACGTTTGGGGACTTGGACTCGGAGTTCTCTTTCCAGGCGTCTAGTGTTCAGTTTTTGAATCAGTATGGCTTCGATTTTAACAAGGTATGAATGACCCTGTTATGCGGCTGTGGCTGGGCACAATTTCCCCCTCCCTTCTCCCTTGTCTACAGGAAGCCAAGGCCGTAGTGCCCCCTCACTGTCAGACAGCTCCCACTGATCCTTACCCTTTCCGCCTCAGTTCCTCAAAAAGGGAATCCCGTACATGAATGAAGAACAGGAGAAGACACTCAGGCAAAGCATCATGAGAGAGAACTGGAGAGTCCGCAGGTGGGTTTGTGCTCCTTACTGCTGTGTGTAGACCGGGGATGCTGGCCCATCATCCAGCCACGCTTGGCCACCCGCACTTTCTTCCCTGAGAGGCCAAAACACTTTTCCTCCCTCGTGAATGTTACTTTTGGTTTACCAGACTCAGCTGGTAAAATGAAGGACCCCAGTTTGATCCTTAAGGCATATTTTTTTTTTTTTTTTTTTTTTTTTTTGGTTTGTTTTTTGAGACAGTTTTTCCATGAAATAGCCCTGGCTACCTTGGTATTCAGTTTGTAAGACAGGCTGGCCTTGAACCTCCCCATCTCTGCTGGGATTAAAGGCGTGTACCGCCACCAGCCTAAAAAAGGGAAGGTTCCCCCCCAAAAGGAAAAACGGGAAGTCACTTAGAGAACTTCACTGCTAAGCCTGCCTGCCTGCCTGCCTGCCTGCCTGCCTTTCTGAGTTCAGACTCGAAAGGCTGGGATAGGGGTGGTACGTGAGATGACTCTTCCTTTTCTCTCTGGATGTCTGCCGGAGCTCTAAGCATGCGGATGCTGACCTTCTTGCCAGCCCTTTTTTTCCTTTCAAACTCTAATGTGCCTCAAGGTTTAAGAATAAAAATAGAGGGGGAGCCATTTTTTGAATTTTTTAATGTGGGTGTTAATGCCTGTACCTAGGGAGGCCAGAATAGTATCAGAGGGTGCTGGGAATGGTGAACCAGGGTCCTCTGGAAGAGCTTAGATTTCTGACAGGAGCAGGTCCTTATCTTCCTGCTTTCTACCACCAACATCCCTGCTTCCTTTGTCCATTTTCAGTTCTCTGGACAAAGACCAGATTAAGGCAGTGATTGACAAGGTGACCCGGTGGGTATACCAGGCTGAGGAAGAAGACCAGATAATTCTGCCTGGTATTTCTGGTAGGCAAGAGGCTGTTCCTTCCTGCCTGGGAGACTCGGGGTGCCAGAGCAATGCCTGCACCTGGGATGGGGAATATATATCCACCCTCTTTGCTATATATAAGTCCTGGCCTCAGGTGCTTCGTGACTGGGTCTCAGTAGATCGCTAACCCTGAGGTGAATTCCCAAGTCTCAAAGACTTTTAACCTGCACCGAGTGTTGAGGGTTGAGAGTCACGCATGAGCCATTGTTAACATCCTACTGGGATGCTTGTTTTAGTAACTGTGACAGCCTGTGACCTTGTGTAACAATGCTCAGAGTACACCCTTTGACATGAGCCTGTGAGGTCAAAACTATCTTAGAAGTGTTACCGTGACTTTTTTTTTTTTTTTTTTTTTAATCACACCCTTGAAGATTTATTGTGTGTTGTACAGTATTTGTTCTGCCTGCATGTATGTCTGCAGGCCAGAAGGGGGCACCAGATCTCATTAAAGATAGTGTGAGTCACTCTGTGGGTGCTGGGCATTGAACTCAGGACCCGGGAGAAAAGCCAGTGTTAATGTTTTCATGCCGTTGTCCTGGTGCCGTAGTGATAGGGTAAAACCTGCTTGCTCAGCTCAGCCTCTGCCGGTAGCCACTATGCACTTGTCCCGGCCTCTCAGGCTCAGAAAGAAGAGTGGCTGTGTTGGGAATGAGCACCTAGGTGGTGTTTTCAGTAGAGACCTGGGTCAGCTGAGTGCTTGTGTGTATGCGTTAGACATCACATCGGGTGGCATCTTCAGCCTCAGGAACAGTTTCTGCTGTAAATTTTCTTCTTAATTTTTTTTTTTTTTTAAATGTGTGCATGGCTGCACCGTATGCGTGTCTGGTGTAGAAGGAGGGCGTTATTAGATCCCCTGGAACTGGAGTTACAGATGGTTGTGAACAGAACCCAGGTTTTCTGCAAGAGTAACAGGTGTACGTAATCATTGAGCCAACTCTTCCTGCTTTGTTTCTTAGAAAGATCTGACTATATAGCCTTGACTGGTCTTTATGTAGATTGGGCTGGCCTCAAACTCACAACGCTCTGGCTGCCTCTGCTCCAGAGTGCTAGGAGCAAAGTGATTTTGCGCCACCACACTATTGAGTACTGAAGTGTCGTGTGAGTTGTAGCTAGTGCTAGTCTCTAACAGGGTTACTACCAACAGCTGCAAACAACATCAACAGCCACATGAGTGTCCCCAGACTGTCACAGCAGGTACAGGGTGTACATGGCTCAGGCACCCTGGTGCCGTCCACCAGTCACTGGGTCTATTCTTTGACCCTTCTCCCGGGGGGGGGGGGCAGGAAATTTTGGTAGCGTCCCAGGGTCTCTGAGTGTGTTTCATGCTTCCTTGCTGCAGGGTTCCAAGCCTTTGAAGTCGAAATGGTCCTGAGGCAGTCCCTCCCCAACATCTGGACCATACAGAAAGAAGTGGGGGTGAGTCCTCACCCAGGTGTGCCTTCTTTGCAGCCCCCCCCCACCTCTGTCAACCAGATCTGGCCTGTGAAAGTGTGTGTGTCTGTCCATCCCTTCTCCCATCCGTCCATTCAGCTGCTTTCCTGCTGCGTCCCTAGCCACGCCCCTCTTCTTCACCGCAGGTGGTTGTGAAGAAGATCAGTGAGCTTCAACGCTGGTACTTTGATAACAACCCTTGTGATCAAATCAAATATTGGAAGGAGGACATGGTGGACTCTGCAAGAGGCTTTAAAGTCTATTTTGACATATTGGTGAATGCCAAGAAGGTAGGCAACAATGTTTCCCCCCCCCCCATTATCTTTTGTATTGTGGTGGATTTTGAAGGCTTTGTCAATACAATTACCTTTGTTCTCTTAACCTTCTGAGGGCAAAGAGGAGATTAAAGATGTCTTTTTAAGAGAATAAGTAGTTCTTGGGATGGGGACATGGGGCCCACTTCTAGCTTCCGCGGGCACCAGGCACTCATGGTGTGCAGACATGCAGCACAAGCACCCCTATAATAGAATGCCTTGCTAGTGAAACGTTCAGGTGACTCTTTGCTAACCAGCTTCCTGAACGCAGCCTTGTTTCCCCGTGGCGGTTTGAGGAAAGACCATCCCTGGTAGATGCTCCTATGCCTTTGCCCCTTGCATCAGCACAACAACCCTAACCCTCCCTTTCTCCCCCTCCCCCTCCCCCCGTTGCCTTCTCCCGTCTCTGCAGCCATGCTGGATCTAGAGCTATGACCTTTCAGCCTGCTGTTTACACTCTCTGACCTGTCGCTTTACCCCTCCCAGCCCCTGGTAGGACACAACATGATGATGGACCTATTGCATCTCCATGAGAAGTTCTTCAAACCTCTTCCAGGTAGGGGTGAAGCTATACTCTCAGCCTCAGTCTGGGGAGACCGAGAGACTTCCTCAGGAAAGGTGTCAGCCTGATTACATGCCCTCTCCCTGTTAGCTAGTAGTGGTGTGACTGGGGTTAGGGACAGAGTTTGTCTGTACCCTGCAATTGCTTCACTAGTCAGGCTGGTGGCAAGCCGGGCTAAACCCAAAAATTCACGAGTCCCCGCCTGGACCTTCCCCCCTCAGAAAGCTACGAAGAGTTTAAGCGGAACATCCATAGCCTGTTTCCTGTCATCATCGACACCAAGAATGTAACAAAAGATATCTGGAAGGTAATGGATTGCATTGGGTGGGGTAGGGGCTGGTGAGTCTTTAGAGGTGACATCTTTCTCTGGATTTTAGCATTCCAGGCCCCAGTTTGTTGAATTTGCACACAGATGGCGTACCTTTTCATTGGACAGAAAGCAACCATTCTGTGTGTGTGGGTGGGTTCTGTTTTTGAGAAAGTCTGGCTGGGTACCCTGGCTGACCTTGAATTCATGAGAGTCCTCCCTACTGAGATCAAAGGTTGAGGGGCCCTCAGAGTCTGAAGTCTCTGGGTTCCCTCCAGAGGTGGGTAGTTACCAGGGAGGTTGCAAGCGGAACCCAGCCCCACCGTGCACTCCGCGCGGTCTGGAGTGGAGCCAGGTGATACTTGGAAAGCTCCCGGTGTGACTATCCTGTAGCCCAGGTGAAAAAGGGAGGCAGGGAATTTCTTCAGTGCTTTCAGGAAGTAAACAGGGTAACAGAGCAAGAGGATGGGAGAGGAGCGCAGAACCAACTCACTCTTGCCCAGAGAGGGTGTGGAGGCCAGGGTTTTCCAGGTCCGCGTAGGGACGGACCCTTTGTGAGGCCTGCAGCAGGTGTTGACCCAAAGCTCAGCGCTTTGTTCTTTGCCCTTGGCAGGAGCTGCATTTCCCGCGAGTCTCCAACCTCTTGGAAGTATATGACCTGCTGAGCAGGTGAGGATGGTGCTTCTGGAACAAGGCCTGTGGCCTCAGCTGCCAAAGCCACCAGGGATCCCTGAGACCTGTCTCTGGTTTTGATGTATTTGCACGTAATAGGCATGCTTGCATTGGACAACAATTGTGGTCCAGCTCTCAGTGACACAGCTGCCTGGATTCCATGTACGTCCAGCTCCTCGTGCCTTTGTCCTCACCCTGAGGACAAGACATCAGAGGCCAAGGCCTAAGCTCGGTGCCTGTCATCTTTGCCGGTGTCTCCCCTGGAACCCAGCAGACGCTTGTTTCTTCTGAGACAAGATCTCAGCCGTCCCAGGCTGGCCTTGAACCTAACTTGTAGCCAACAGTAACCTAAACTTCCGATCCTCCTGCCTTTGCTTCCCTTCAACTGAATTCCAGCGTTCCCGGTTTTATGGTGTGCTAGGGTAGATAGAAACCACTGAACTGTACCCCACAGGCCTTCCTCTCTACTTGCTCCTCCCCTGGGGACCTAAACCTGCCACCTCTTACCATCCCCATTTAAAACTTAACACCAAGCTACCCCCCACGGTAACCCCGTGTGGAAATAATGTGGGATAAGGGTCACAGCTCCTTCACTGGAGGGAAGCCTCTGGGATGCCTATGCTGGGGTGGTAGCATGTCTGTCCCCCGCAGACAAGCTGTCCACCTCGTGTCTGTCCCTTTAGCGGCCTCCCCCACGCCCACTGCTGCAGATTCTCACTCTTCCGTTGTCGTCAGGCCATTAGGGACAGGCAGTGGCATCTGTGCTTTTCAAGGCCGGCTTCACAGCGCCTTGGGTGGAGTCTGGGCTTTCTCCACACAGCCCTTTCTCTACAGTTCATCCAGCTCATGGTTGGCTGGTCTGTTTTCTTGTATTTTGTCTGTCTTTGTTTGAAGTATCAGGAAACTCTGATCCCATGCTTCCTGGGTTTAAACCCAGCATTGGACACCCACTGTTTCATAGCTTAAGTCTGGAAAAGCCCCAGGCTCACCATCTATGATCGAGCAGGTAAAACCCTGCCATGACTCAGGAGGTATTGAGATCAGGTAAGGTCATTCTCGTGGGGGCACTGAAGACGGGCCCTGTGCGTGTTGAGACTTAGCTGTCATCACTGTTGTTGACAACCTTTTCGACCCTGATAGCCATGTGTGACAGGGACAGTAGTCGTGTCCATTTCACATTAAGGAAATAAGGAGCTTAGGTGTGAGAGCCACCGGGTGGGAGCGAAAGTGACTCAGCCCTGTCCGACTGTCTCCAGACTGTTGTGCACTGTAGGAGCGGATTGATCCCAAGGCCTTTCTATGTTAGGCAAGCATCCTGCCACTGAGCCTGCGTCCCCAGTGCTTTTTAAAAGATTTTTTTCTTCACTCTTGCCTCTGCAGTGTCACTGTGACCTCAGTGGCCCCTGTGCCGCGGGACAGCACGTGGCCCTCGTCTCCAGGCTGCCTGTTCATGTGGTGTCCAGATGTTTTCCACACCTTGGACAATCCAGCTGGAGTCCCTTTTGTCTGTCTCTTATTCTGTGGCTTTGTCAAGGCCTCATCTGCCTGTCCATGCTATGATATCTGTGCCTCTTATTATTTTGGGGGGGGGGGGTGGGATGGGGGATCGAGACAGGGTTTCTCCGTGTCAACAGCCCTGGCTGCCCTGGAACTCTGTAGACCAGGCTGGTCTTGAGGTCCTCTGGCCTCTGCTGGGATTAAAGGTGTGTGCCACCGTGCCTGGGTCTGTGCCTTTTGAAAAGGATGTGCTTAGCTGGTGTCTCTCTCTAACTTAAGAGTATTTAATTTTAGTGATTTTTCATACCCCCCCCCCTTTTTTTCTCTCCTAATAGTGACTTGAATCCCGCTAAGAATACTGGGCCGAAGATTATTCATTCATTTCATTCTCACAGATATGGTATGTCCCTGAGCCCCTGCCCCTTGCGCAGTTGGCCAAGTGCCCGGGTGTAGACGGGCTTCTTACAAGGCTAGCCAGCTCTTCATTGCTAACTCATTTTCTATCTGACCGCATGCGGTCCTGGGTACTTCCCCTTGCCCCTCTTCCCACTCTGGTGGCCTTGTCTGTCCATTGGCTGAAACAGCTTTATTATTCATCAGCCAATAAGAGGAAACCGTATACAACGCAGAAGGGCATCTCCCATCACCCTGGGGCGGAGCGGAGGGTTCAGGAGTGCTTCCTGGGCAGCAGGCTCTAGAGGCTTGGTTGGGGATTTCTTCCCTGGCCTGCCTCTCAATGTGTGGGGTGTAGTCTGGATGTCTACAAGGCTCCTGGGTGCTACATGGCATGGTGGGTGACTGGGGCGGGGAGAGGGAGTAACCCCTCACACATGTTCTAATCCCTGCCTAACCCCTCTTTCTTCAGCTAAGCACAGGTGCCCCCATGAAGCTGCATACGACGCTTTCCTCTGTGGGTCAGGTAATGTGTTCCGGCGAGGGGCACTGCCCTGGTGATACATACTGGCTGGGTTCATGCTGCGTTGCACATAGGGTTGAGTTTGCGCTTTTCCCGCAAGCCGTCCCGGGTTACATCTCTAGCTTCTTCTTGCAGTTCTTTTGAAGGTGGCCCACTTGCTCCTGCACAGGCTACAAGGGTAAGTGCCTTCCCCTCAGACCTCAACCAGGACCTCTGGGGTATGGGACCCACCTAGAGAAGGGATGTGTAGTATGGGTGTTCTCACCCAGAGCCAGCCAGGGCAGCGTGTAAGTGCTTTGTTCCTCTTAACTTAATGACTGGTAAGTAAACTCTTCCCAGGGTTAGAGGAGCTCACGGCTGTCCAAGCCTAGCAATTCTGGGACCTCTGTGTCTGCAGTTGGCAGAGAGTCAAGGGTGATGTCAGTTGAGAGTATAAAGTAGAGCCTCCTCCAGAGAGGGGCCAGTGATGGTCAGCAGCGGTCAGAAGCTCTTGGTCTAGCCTTGGCAGAGGTGGAGAGAAAGGAGGCAGCCCTTTATTCCCTGCTTCCACACCAGAACCGGTGAGCTGTGTGAAAGCCTGTGTGCCTGCCTGAGTGCGTCTGGCCTTTCTTCTGTCTGTGCAGCCCTCTTACTTTTGAAAACTACGACAGCTCATTCCCTCAGTACTTCGAAATGCTGTGGCCCTACGTGAACCAAGTGAATCTTATCCGAGCTGGGGTCCCTAAAATTGTGAGTATGGAACATCTCACTCCGCTCTGACCTTGCTCAGGCCTGCTGTGGGGTCCTGATGAGACTGATACAGTAGGAGCAGACTCACTCCTGCCTCCCACCTGCTCCGGCCCCGAGCACCTGCGCATTTTGAGGTGCATGAGTTGCCCTATGGGCTATGGAGAAATTTCTCTCCCTTCTGTCTAGAATCTTTGCGGCCCAGATTACCCCAGTATCCGGCCTCCTGTACTCATCCTCACCGTCAAGAATTGGCCCGCGGTCACCGAGCATCATGTCTACAATGAGTTTCATAATGTTTGCAAGTTCGATGTCAGGCGGTTCACCCAATACCAGTTCCTGCTCCTGACCAATAAGTTTAAGGAGTAGGTATCTGACTCCCAGCCCCTCTTGATCCTCACTGCCTCCCTCTCTCGCTCTCTCCCCACCATTAGTGGCTACATGTGGCTACCTTGTCTGACGTGGGCGGACTTCTTTTGGCAGCGTCCGCAGTGTCCTGAAGGAGTACAGGAACCACCCAATCATGCAGGTCTCCCTGTACCGGTACTGGAAACACTCCCCTGACATCACCTGCCTGTTGAAGTGAGTGGCCTGCCTGCTGAGGTGCAAGCTAACACGCCATGTGTGGTACTGGGTGACCCACATGTAAATGTGAGAAAGGGTGGGGATGGGGAGGGGCCTGGGCGGGTGTGTGTGTGTGTGTGTGTGTGTGTGTGCAGAGAGAGGATTCCTAGGGACCAGCAGGGGCAACAGATCAGAGGGCCAGTGAAGGGGAGCAAGCGCAGGGTAAGACAAGGCCTGCGTCCCACCCAGTGGGGCTACATCTTGAGGGCTGTGGATGTAGGAGAAACCAGGTGTTGAGGGATCGAGGGGAGGGATGCGGTCCACCTGCCATCTGCAAAAGCAGATGGTCCAGCACATCAGGCAAGGGAAGGTGATCACGCAACAGCAGCACGAAGGAAAGGGGTAAAGTTGTCGCGTTTGAGGGTGGGGGCCCAAGCCACTAGACTACCAGCCTTGAGTTGCTTAAGCTCTGTGAGGCTTAGGAGCCACAGCTGACGTGGACAGTCTAGGTGCAGGCAGCCTCCTGCCCTGCCAGCCTCTGACCTCTGTCTCTGGGAGGGAGCGTGTCTGTATTGAGAGGCACGCATTCACCATTGGCATCTGGAGGATGGGTTGGAAGGACATTTGTGCTGGGGATGTGGCTCGGGTGGTACGTGGTAAGTGGTTGCTTAGCTCAGGTTCACTCCCTAGCGTAACTTAGACTAAATGGGGAGGTCCATGCCTGTCACTGCAGCACCTGGGTCATCTCTGGCCACATAGAAAGTCCGAGGCCAGCCTGGGATACTTGATCATGTCTCAAAAAAAAAAAAAAAAAAAAAAAAAAAAAAAAAAGGCATTTCATGGATGATGTAGGGAGGAGAGGATGTGGAGCAGAGCCTGTGCCAGTTGCCGCTGGTCCCCAGGCAGACCCCTGTCCCGTCCAGGCCTCTGACTTGGATCTTTATCTTGCAGAGTCTGCGGGATCATTACTGCCTGGGCCACGGTTGCGTTTGTCCTGGGCAGATCCAGCCTCACAGTGCATTGAGCCTCCTCGACTACTGCCCTAGCTTTCCCAAGATGGCCCTCATGACTTGTCTGTATAAACAAGTTTGTTTTCAGGCAGACCTGTATGGTGGTCCTCTTATTATTTTGTTCTGTTCTGAATGGAGATTCTGTACCTTTGTACATGGCCAATGCATTTCCTCCCTGTGCACTGCTGGGGGAAGTCCTGGCCGCTTGGGTCGAAGCTGCTGCTCTAGCGGGACCAGGATTTTGGTGGGTGGGTGTGAGCAGAGGGGCTGGCGGAGCCAAAGGAGGAGCTGCTGCGGGCTTCAGTAGCTGTGTGAGCGCCTCACACACTGCAGGTCCCTGACCACAGGGATGCAAACATCCAGTAAGGCCCCCGGAACTGCAGGAGAGAGCAGGCGCTGAACAGGTCAGCAGGAGAGAGGAATTGCAGGCAGTAACCCTGAAGGAGAGGCGTGTGGCGCCGGCACACAAGGAAGGGTGATGGGACTCCAGGTCCCTCTGAAGATTGGTTCTGCCGCGGCCCAGCGATGCTACTATCATGTTACTCTGGAAGACTGGACACAGCCATCCCTGTCACCAGAGTGCTTTTGAGACCTCGGTCCTCCAGATGAAGAGAGGAGCTGAGCTAAGAAGACTCCACGAGCTTCCTTCCCTTCCTTAAGTTGCGCCTCCCCACCCTGGCTCTCAGGGCTCTCTCTTGCTTTCCTTCTCTTCCAGAGAAACCTCAGCTCTGGGCTAAGGTCGTCTGTGTTCCTGCTTGCAGGCACCTGGTCCCCTCCCCTGACTTCTGTAGAGACCTCCTTTTTCATCTGGTCCCCCCCTATGGTCATCCCTTGACAACTTTTACCGCGATCATAGCTGGGTCCTGGTTTGCAGGGCCCCATCCTGCATCTTCGTCCCACATGGTCCCCTGGGACTGTAGCCCTGGTGTCCACACTTCACTGTCCGGTAGAGGATGGCTTCCCATCCATTAGATGTTTACTTTTACATGTTTTTTGAGACCAGGATCTCTCCGTGTATCGCTGGCTGTCCTGGCACTTGGCCATGTAGAGCCAGGCTGACCTCAAACTCAGAGATCTGCGTGGCTCTGCCTCCCGAGTGCTAGGATTAAAGACGTGGCCCCACCGCCGCCTGGCATGGATGGGTATGGGGTTTTCCGTAGGGCTCACACTTTTGTTTTGAGGTCCACGATGGGACAGACGTGTCCCAAGCCTGGCTGCGTGGACGCTTATCCGTTTGGACTGCTCTTTATCAGCGTGCTCTTATCTCTCCATAATTTCACTCAGAGTATAGGAGGGTTGCCACGGGCAGGACATGCTGTGAAGAAAATAAACCAAATAAAGCCTGACCCCAGAGCCTACTTGGAGAGCCCAGGCTCCCTGGTGCTCCTCCTGTTGCCTCTGCTCCAGCTTTCCAAAACCCTAAGAATCTCAGAAGCCCGATAATACGTTTTTTTGGGCAAGCCTGCTCTCCCCCCCCCCCAGGTGATTGATGGACAGCACCTCTAAAGAGGAGGACAACTTAAAAATCACAATGTTTCCCCCCTCCCATTATTGCTGTTCTACAAATAAAGAATACTTTCTCAACTGGTATTGTGGGATTTGACAGGCTGCTATGCTCTGCCGTTGAGTTGATGGATTCCATGTTCCTTAGTGTCCCAGGCACCTCCCACTCAGCCTCCCTTCCTGCAGGTCCGCTGCCTCCCAGTGGCACCATCCAGTGGCCCAGCTTTAATGCGAGGCAGTTAGGGGCCATCAGACAAGCAAGCACTGTCTGGAACTTAGCAGTGCACGTCTTGGCTCCTTCTAATTTTAGGACCTGTCCTGAGCCAGACGCCATCATCTTGTTTTCGTTGCAGTCTTGGACTGGTGGGGGACCCTTCCTAGCTTCCTAGGCTTTTCACCGCCAGTGTAGCCTCAACATAGAATTTTCTAAATTGGTACGGTTCAAGTCCCAAGAGCCAGGCATTTTGCTCACACTACACTTCTACAGACAGGCCATGCCAGACCCCCACTCCCAGCAAGTGCTCTAACCCTGGCCATCCTTCAGTTTTCTTTTTCCCCAAGTGCAGTGTGACACCTGCAGCGGGCTCCAGTGACAATCTGTCCAAGAATGGATAAAACTGGGGCAGACTCCACAGCGTGAGCCTTACCCCTGCGCCTGGGTTGTGTATGGGTGCAGCTAATGTCTAAATGTCCCTGGAGTCCAGAAGGGAATGTCAGACTAGAACTGCTGGTGATCGTGGGTTGCCTAGTGTAGGGACTGGGGACTGAACTTGGGTCTCTGCAGGCCCTCAGGAAAGGCTTTGAACGTTCCATTGGGGGAGAGCCACACAGACTAGAGAGGCGGATCTCCTCCCATACTTTATCATTACCTCAGCACAGGCTTCTTATTTTTTTCCCACTCACAGCTCCTCTTCACCTAAGACACTTCAGGTGATCTCCTGTGTGTAAGTCTATACAGATCAAGCATTTATGCCTGGTGGTGTGATGGTGTGTACCTTTAATCCCAGCACTTAGGAAGGCGGACCTCTGGGTTAGAGGCCAGTCTGGTCTACATAGTTTCAGAACAGCCAGAGCTGTATAGTAAGACTATCTCAAACATTAAAAAAAAAAAAAAAAGTGTAACTAACAATCATAACTTTTTCTTTGGCCTACATGTAAATTTAACATTAAAGATGAAGTCAAATTTGCAAACTTATGGAATAACTGCTTATTCTAAGTCTTGGCTGACTATTTGAAAGCATTATCAGTGTTTTTCAGAATTGGCTGATATCCTGATTTTATAATTGTCAGTCCTGAGGATACTATTTCATGTAAATTCATAGCACAAAGTGGTAGAAGTATGTTTGGGGCCATTTCAGAAATTGTTGGAATTACGTCCAAACCCCTAAGCCAAAATCCATGTTACATTTTTTAGAGATGAAATTTAAGCAACTCAGAGAATTTTAGAATCCGACGGTTGCTTAGAATCAAAGTTGTTGTGATCCAAGGACACACTGATACATGCTGAGGAATTGTGGAAGGGATAGTCCGGCCTTAATTTTCCCTAATGGAAGCATTGTATGTGCAGGGAGCTCTGTGCTTGTGGTAAGACGACAGGTCACAGAGCTCATGAGGGTCTCTCAGGTTTGTGTTTCAGGCAGCTGTTGTTGGCACGGTAAGGTGACAGCATGTCCAACCACAAGGCTGTGATGAAGTCACATGATGTTGGAAGGGGCTGTGTGCAAAGGAGTCGTCTGGACGGTGAGCGGATCCATGCTGACGGAACTGAAAGTTCGTGAAATGCATCTGACCAAGCAAAGGGGGAAATTAGTTGAGTAAAATGTGTCATAGCACCTAGAGCCCACACTGGGAGCATGTCCATCACTTGTCTTCACTTGTCCAGACAGTGTGCTGGCCCCCACATTGTGTTCCTTGGATTAGGCAAATGAAGGGAATTCTCAAAGGGTAAGGGTGAAATTTTAAGAACTGTAGCCGGTGATGGTGCCAGACACCTGTAATCCCAGCACTCACGAGGCAGCGGCAGACAGATTTCTTTGAGTTCAAGGCCAGCCTGGTCTACAGAGCAAGTATCAGGACAGCCAGGGCTACACAGAGAAACCCTGTCTCAAAAGACCGTGGCCTTCACCGCTGGGTGCTGGTTGTTGCTGTAGCGACCTCCCATGATGGACACAGTGTCCCCCAGACACATCATTCTTCTCCCAGCCATGAAGTGCCTGAGCAGGGCCTGAACCTGGTGTTAGCTGCTCTGGGACACGTGTGGGGGTGTGGTAGAGACACATGCAGTGTGACCCATAGAGGAGCCTTGTCAGGAGACGGGGGACAAGGGACTCTGGTTCCTGCAGGGAGCTACGGGTCAGTGTTGCTGGTGCCCTGTCTCCCCACATCATCGGCGACGCCTGCCACCGTATTAGGTGAGTCTACCCACTGTCTCTGAGCTGGCTGCTAGAGATCTCGTCCCCTCTCAGGCACTTATTTCAGCCACCCTAGGTCTTGGACAGGGCCATGCTGGGTCCTTTGTGTCTTCATCACATTTGTTCCCACCAACCCACCTCTCCCTCTGTGAGGCTGCGGGACCCTGATGTGGTGGACCCACCTCCTGTCCTCCCCCAGACTCCCCCCCAAACCCCCAAACCCCACCCAGGTGATCGCGTCCAGTCAAGTTAGCAGGCCAGCTGCCCTGTTCCCCGCTGAAGGGCAGGTACTGAATCCCCAGTCTCCCGGTGTCCCTGCTGTCACTTCAGCCTTTGTCCTCCAGGCTCTAACAGGAAATGTTGGAGCAAGCGTGGCTTTTCCAAGGGACAGCGGCAAGTCCGACGCCTCGCAGCCCGCCGGGTTCCGTCTGCTCTCTTCAGCTCTCAGCTGGGGTCCAGTAGAAGATTTCTCTCCAGTGGCCACCTTGCCTCTGAGCAGATGGCCGCCCTCAGGACACCCTCTGGAAGATGTGCTGGGCCCAGCCTCGCCGGCAACCGCCTCCTCTGGAAAGAGGGTCTGTGCACATTTCAGCCTAGTTGCGCGGCTCACTCAGCCCGTGAGTTCTCAGGTTATATTCTGTGTCTCCAGTTCCTGGCTCACACCTCCTATCTCAGTAATGCCCCCGGCCAAGCTCCCGTGGATACTAGGATGGCCTCAAATCTACTAGGTAGCCGAGGGTGGCCTCGAACTCCTTATTCTTTCAGCTTCCACCTTTAGAAAATTATTTACTCCCTGTGTTTGGGTGGCCTGTCAGCACGCATGTCTGTGCGCCATGTGTGTGCAGTGCCAGCAGAGGCCAGACAGGGGCTGTGGTGTTCCCCGAGACTGGAGAATGGCCGTGTGGGAGCTGGAAATCAAAACCCAGTTCTCTGGAGGAGCAGCTAGTGTTCCTAACCACTGGGCCATCTCTGTTTCTACCTTCCAAGTGCTGCTGGGACTACAGTCATTTGTTACCATGACTACTTGATGGGGCCTCGGGAATCAAACCCAGGGCTCCACAAGTGCTAATCAAACGGCCTACCAACTGAGCTACATCCCCTCTCCCTTGAAATGATTGGTTTTTGTTTTTCAAGGCAGGTGCTCTGTGTATAGTCCTGGCTGTCCTGGAACTTGCTCTATAGACTAGACTGGCCTTGAACTCACAGAGATCTATCTACCTGGCCTGGCCTCCCAAGTGCTGGGATTAAAGGCGTACTCCACTACTACCCATCTTGAAATCGATTTGTTTTAAGTTACCTTAGAGAGATGGACACAGGAAAGGTCAGGAGTTAAGGACCACCGCCCACTACTTCCTGAGTTCAAGACTAACCTGAGTTGCTTGTATCAAGAAAGCTAAGGACCATTAAGCCCAGCACTAGGGTGGCAGGGGCAGGTGAATACCTATGAGCTTGATGCCAGCTCAGTCTACAAAGTGAGTTCTAAGCCAGCGAGGGCTAAATAGTGAAACCCCGTCTTAATAATAATAAACAAGTAAAGAGCTAAAATGTAACTTTACATAGCCATTCAGTTTTAGCCCTCCCTGCAAGCAAGACCTGCTGGATGGTTCATCCTTGGTTGTGTTGACAGTTCCTCAGGGCGATGCATATATACCCAGGCATGCTCTAGAGTGACCTGCACGTGTCTGGCGAATGCATGGGAGCAGACTTCTGAGGCCCCCACTTCTACACTCAGGAGCTCATCCTGCTCCAGTATTTCCCCTGGGCCTCAGTCTGGGAAGGCAGTCCCACTTCCAGAATAGTCCAAGGACGTCGGTTGACTCTGGGCAGGGACAAGGAAGGATTCCGTCTGCCCAGGCCTGCTGAGGCCCGGCTCTCCTTTCCTACTGCCCGGAGGCGGAGAAAGCACGCGGAGAAAATGGAGCGCTGAGGAACTGGCTCCCTCTGCTGCTGCTTCTTCCTGACTTGGTCAAGCGGGGCAGGCATGGGTCAAGAGGCAGCAGGAATGTGTGAGAGCCTAAGGTCAGGGAAGGTCAGTCGGCTGCGTGCCTGGGGCTGCCTGGTGGTGTTTTTAGATTGTTTGCTTTTAAAGATTCATTCTAAAATTGTTTCTAATTAGGGGTATGTTGTATGTGTGTGTGTGTGTGTGTGTGTGTGTGTAGGGGGTGTGACCATGAGCACAGCTGCCCATGCAGGCCAGAGGACAGAGACATTGGGTTCCCCTGGAGCTGTCATTACAGGCGACTATGAATCACCTGATGAGCGTGCTGGGAACTGAACTCCAGCTCCAGGGTTAGGGTTAGGGTTAGGGTTAGGGTTAGGGTTAGTATTCAGGCATCTGCACTGGCCTGCCCTTGGGGTTCTGACAGGACGTGCCCTCAGCTGCAGCCACTAAGAGCATCACCTGTGCAGTCACTACTTTGCCTTTTAAAAGGGCCCCGCCCACCTCCCCGTCCTTCTCTCTCCTGCTGCCCCTGTCTCCGGAGGCCGTCTCCCCCTTCCCTTCCCCCTTTTTGTGAACCCTTTCCCTAATTAAAAAAAAAAAAAAACCCTCTGCCTTGGGTTTGTTCCCCAAACTCCACACAGATACATACAGCAATGTATTTTAGGCTTTGCCATTTGCATGGGCTAAAACAGCATTCAGATATTTTATTTATTAACTATTTTGAGACAGGATCTTACTAAGTGCCTGGGGATGGCCTCAAACTCACAGGAATCCCCTGGCTTCCATCTTTGAGTATTCCTGTTATGGACATGCCTGACTCCTTTCTGTTGTCTTAATTAACTTTTTTTTTTTTTTTTTTTTTTTTTGGTAACTACTGAGTCCAAACACTTCTGATTATGGGTCATTTTTGCTTATTTATAGTGGGATTATAAATTGCCCTACGCCATTTAATCTATACCCATTTACCTGTTGGTATCCCACCATTTTTATCCTTCGTTTAGTCAAACATTTAGTCAAACATGTCAAGGGATATTAACCCACCGTCATATGTATTAGGATTTTCTAATTCGTGATTTATCAAGTTGGAACTTCTCATCGGAGTTGGAACAGGCCCAAAGCCACTGACTCCTAGAGCATTCAGTACAATCCGTGGTTTGTTGGGTTTACATTTAAGGGTTTATCTTACGAAAGCCAGTTGCATTATGGAATTTTATTCCAGTAAGAAAATGACTGGATGAGCAAAATCTATAAATAGTGCCAAAAAGAAGCTGGGCCTGACCTTAAAATAGCAAGGTCCTTCCACTGTGCCTTGGGACTACAGCAGAATGTTTTCTTTGCAATAAGAACAGAAAACACTCCATTTCAAAAGAATCGACAGCAGCATTTCCAGCCGACCGCTCAGCAACGAGCTGAGGAATGATGGGCAGTGTGTCAGAGAGGTAGGGTAATAGCCGTGTGCTGGGATATGGGGGGGAGGGGATGGATTTGTTTTGTACGCATCTTACAACAAGTTGCACTACACATTGTTGTTCCTGGGTATGGAAGCACCTCATATTTAAGCAAAGGAAAGAAGAAGAGAGGAAGGGATGAAAGAAAAGAATCCAGGAGTGGTAGAATGCTCCTGTAATCCCAACGCAAGAATCCGAGGCATGGCATTGAAAGCTTAAAGCCAGACTGAGCTACGTAGTAAAACCCCGTCTCAAAAAAACTAAGTAAGGATAGAGGAAAATCAGAGAAGGAGGGAGCCTGGGGGTGTGGGGAAAGGCGGGAAGGGAGAAGAACATCCATACCCAAGAAGCTTCACTCATCCTTGTTGAGGTGTCCTCTAATTCTTACAGGATGGCCATCTTTCAAGGACTCATGGGACATCCTATCCGTCTCTCAATTTGTCCCGTGATAGATTCTCAGTGTATGAATAGTGAGGATACTTGTAAGATAGCGTGGATGTCCTTATATGTACTAACATGTTTTCCTCTGGTGCACTCGGAGGATGAGATGGAAAGAGGAGGCCCAATGGAGAGAAAATAGGAAATGGTATCGATGACGACAGTATGAATAGTTTATGGTATCTCTCAAAGACTGCCCTGGGTTGTATGGTCTCAAGAGTGGATGGATCTAAGGGTCAGACTCCTTGCGGCACAGTCTGGCTCAGGACCAGCCATACTCCGAAACCTTACCAAATCTCTTACCTTTATCTGTGACAGTAGATTAGTAACAGTGTCTCCTAAGAGTGACAAGTGAGACATTGTTGCGACACATGGAGCTTTGTGCTGGGAAGGTGGGACCTAGCCAGGGGTCAGAGCTCTGTGCTGGAGTACTTGCCCAGTATGTATGCTGTTCTTGAGCCAAAGCCCAGTACTGGCAAAAAATATTAGCTCCCATCAAGTTACCAGTGGCCAAGTGTGTCGTGTGTGTAGTGTGTCTTGTTATCATTTCTTTCCAGGAGGAATGAAGGACTTTCTCTTTAATCTTAGGTGAGTCACCAGGCGGGAAGGTAGAGAAACAGTTAGAAGAATACTGTCATATTCCACACAGAGATACTGTCAGGCAGCCTTCCTAGCAGAAGTTCATGAAGGGAGAGAGAATTGTGCAACATTCTCCCTGGAGCCCACCTCTGGCTTTTCCTCGAAGACTTTCAGTAGTACTTCCTTTAGAGACCTCCTACTCTTCTTCCTCCTCAGGCTTCCCACCACAAAGTAGACAATAGGGTTGATGCTGCTGTTAATAGTGGACAGCATGTTCAAGTAAGGGAGGGACTCCCACACAGATGCGTCCATTGAGTTGGAGTAGTAGGCAATGATAAGTAACACCTTCATGGGCATGGCAAAGACCAGAAACAGGATTACTGTGGCCATGACGATTACGTAGAGCTTGGCTGGTTGGCGTGGCTTCAGGTTACAGCAGACCTGGATGAAGAGGATTAAATTGGAGAAGACCATGAGAGGAACAAAGACCAGGAATGTCAAGACACAGGAAAATATGTACACATAACGGCATTCTGGGAATTGTGGCATCACTTCCGCAATGCAGAAGAAGTTTTCCAAGCCAGATACAAGGACAGAGAGGGCCCACAGCAGTGCACAGGCCACAGCGGACTGGTGCGTCGGGCGTCGACACTGGTACCAGATTGGGTAAAGTACTGAGAGGCACCGCTCGACGCTGATGGCTGTGAGGAGGTGCAGGCCCGTGTTGTAGCCGAAGAGCATGAGGAAGACGGCGTAGGTCAGGAAGATGTTATCATGGATGTGGAAGGTGTTCACTACCTGAGTGACGGATGAACACAAGAGAACCAGGAAGTCGGCAATGGCGAGATGCAGGATGTATACAGTGAACGGCTTCCTCTTGACACAGAATACTAGGAACCATATCAAAAGTCCGTTCCCAGCCAGTCCCAGCATACAAATCACCAGGGAGGCACAAATATAACTGTAGTCAGCCACTTGACTTGAAGACCAGGTGGTTTCATTTAGGGATTTGTTTCTGGTGTATTGTGTGGGTTCCAGAGGACAAAAGGTCGTTGTCAATGGCTCCATTTTTGGGAAATCTCTTTCTCTGTGGTCTCCTGTGGTCACAAATGAAAGACAGTGACAGCTGTCATCTACCCAGCATCTTAAGACGGCTTTATATTACTGGGGAGCCTCTCTGCCACATGAGGGATTGGTGGGAGATGTCATTCTATAAATATGTTTCTCTTATTGGTTAATGAATAAAGCACTGTTGGCCAATAGGAAAGCAAGACAGGTGGGACTAGGAGACAAGGAGGATTCCGGAAGGAGTAGGGAGGAGTCAGCGTGTAGACACTGGAGACAACAGAGGTCCCGGCCCTCACTCTGGTAAGATGAGACCACGTGGAAATACTTAGATTAATAGAAATGGGTTAATAATTAAGACAGAGCTAGCGGACAAGAAACTAGTAACTGGCCAACAGCATTATATCAGATACAGAGTCTCGGTGTGTTAATTGGGGCTGTCACGGCGGCGGGACCAGACCTGTGGCTGGGAAAACTACTCGCAACACGGGATGAGGTAAGCCAGAGTCCCCTGCTGTCTTCTCATCTTCTCCCCTCTTCAGTTCTCCACCCAGCAGACACTGAAATAATGTCCACATCCCCTCCACTAACGCCAGGGCTGACTTCTGACCTCGGCCCCCCCCGCCCCCCGCTACTGGCATCCACAATTCCCTTTTCTCGGTCCTTGAGAAAGCCCACTGTGTCTCTTACTTCTAAGAGTCCTCACTAGAACTGTGACAGAATTAGGAGCAGAACTTTTTTTCTTTTCTTTTCTTTTTTAAGACACTTGAAATAAATGAAGGCAAAAGCCAATGCAAAAATAAATAAATAAAATAAAAAATAAATAAAAGGAGTCATGGCTCAGAAAGATGTTTAAGTATGAGGACCTGACTGACTATAGGTTCTCAGCATTCACATACAAATCTGGGCATGGTGCTGCATGCCTTTAATCCCGGCACTCGGGAGGTAGAGGCAGGTGGATCTCTGTGAGTTTGAGACCAGCCTGGTCTACAGAGCTAGTTCCAGGACAGCCTCCAAAGGTACAGAGAAACCCTGTCTTGAAAAAAACCAAAACAAACAAACAAAAAATGGGGAAGTGACCGACAGAGACACCTACTACCCTTCTGTCACCCAAAGGCACCCGCGTAGGTGAGCACACATACACACATGCACACCACTGCACATCCTTGCACACAATATTCACAGAAAGTGGAGAAGAGACAGAGGGCAGAGAGAACAAGCAATTACAGCATAGGTAGAAATTTGTTGATCTTTTCTGCCACATCTCTCTTTAGCTGTTCTCCTATTCCCCTGTCTCAGCTTGCAGTTTACAACAGCTACATCCATTTACCGATTCACCCGTAATACAGCTAATGGACAGTTGTACGTTTCCCTCTCGGACATTAAAGGGCATTCCCTTGGGTTTAAGGAGGAGACAGTCTTGTCGTCATGGTGGGAGGGGGAGGTTGAGAAGGAGTTTCTGTTGAGCTGGGGTTCACGGAAAAGAAGGCTATGGAGAGTGGACAGTTATGCAGGACTGTGATCTCCAGACCCAGGACAGCCTGGGCTCCTGGATGCTGTTAGGTGGTGTTGTAACTGCATAATTCTTACTTCTTCCTTACTCCATGTTCTGTGTTGCCCAAAGGATGCCGTTACCATGGCCAACTGAAGCATGGGGGGGGGCTCATGAAACACTTTTAGAGTGAGGACATCCTGGGTTGTTTTTTGTAGACTCAACCATAAAGGACAGCAGTCTCCTATTTACAGATAGACACAGTTTTCTCTCTCTTTCTCTGTCTCTGCATCTCTCCCTCTCTCTCATCCCTCTCCCTCCTCTCTCCCTCTCCCTCCGTCTCTCTCTCTCTCTCTCTCTCTCTCTCTCTCTCTCTCTGTGTGTGTGTGTGTGTGTTTTGAGACAAGATTTTTCTGTGTAACAGCTCTGGCTGTCCTAGGACTTGCTCTGTAGACCAGGCTGGCCTCGAACTCAAAGAGATCCACCTGTCTCTGGCTCCTGAGTGCTGGGATTAAAGGTATGTACCATCACCGTCCAGGTAGACATGGTTTTAAAAGATGCTTTCAGTCTGCCCTTGAAACTCAGAATGCCTATTTCTGGAGACTCAGCAGGATTTTTGAGAACAGCTGGCAGATTCTTACTTAACCTGTATTAGAACTGTTTTTGCTATTGTGGAATTCATGTTGGGCCTTCATTCTTTCTCTGGTGTATAATTCTTAAACATCCTTGGGGTCTCCACAGTGGTGTGTGTTTGTATACAGTGACTGATGGCTAACTGTCCCCTAGATAGCTCCAGGATGGGGTTAGTTCTTGGAGGGTCCACTGCTCAACCTGCAGGGAAGGAGATGGCCTGAATGTTGAACTGACCACCAGAGTACAATGATCCTGATGAGAATCTCCATATAGCCTCCCTCCAACAAAACCAGAACAGAGTTCAGAGAGCTTCCAGGAAATGGCACATGTGGAGATTCCTGGGGTTGGGGTGGGGGGGCAGAGAGGGCATGGGAGTTCTGTGTCCCTTCTCTGCACCTCACACTTCCTATCTGCCCATGCATGGCACTATGACATCCTTTGAGATGCACTGTTATGGTTTTACACTTCATTCTCTGATCTGCTTAGGGAGGTGAACTGAACCCAAGGAACCCTGATTTAGTTATGCTATCCGGTCAGAAGCACAAAGTGCCTGGGACTTGTGGTCATCATTCTGAAGGGCAGGCAGAGCTGTGGGTGTGGGCACTCTCTGAGTGCAGGGAGTCAGAAATCTCCAATTTCTTCCTTGGGATAGATTACTTCGACAACAATTACTCATGGCGAGCGAGCTTTAAGGCTTTGAGTCAGAAAAGGATAACACACATGAACACTGGCTTTGGGTTGAATCCATCTCCAGGATAGGTTTATGTGGTCGTGGGCAGCTTTCACTCTGTAAACGTGTTTCCCTGTCTGAAAAGTGGACATAATAATAGTAGCACTTCCCACAGTTATTGAGAAAATCAGTCAATGCCCTCCTCCTCTTTGTCCCTTTGGCTTGTAAAGGAGAGTGTGGAGGTTGACATCAGTGTCTTTCCCATAGCTCTCTATTTTATCTATTGAGGGAGAGCATGAGTACAGGTTTTTGCCAACTTGCCGCAAACTACAGCCATCCAGGGAGAGGGCAACTCTTGAGTTAAGCACAATAAAATCACACTGTATACATATGGAATTCTCAAAGAATAATGGAAATATTTTAAAAGGGTTGTTTTTTTTTTGAAGCAACATAATTGAGAACTTGAACAGTAAAGCTTTTTTCCCAGTATTGATCATTTTTCTCCAATAAAACAAATTTGTTAACCTGATGCCGGGTGTGTGTGGGGTGCATCTGAACATTTTAACCAGACAGCCTATGGTTTCAGGACTTGGTACAGCCTTGATACTCTGTTTCCTCTTGAACAGAATGTTAGTTCTAGCTAGACAGCTTAGGGCTTAGCAAGGTGATACAGCCTTGATACTTTGTTTCCTCTTTAACAAAACGTTACTTTTAACCAGACAGCTTAGGGCTTTGCAAGGTGGTACAGCCTTGATACTATGTTTCCTCTTTAACAAAATGTTACTTTTAACCAGACAGTTTAGGGCTTAGTAAGGAGATACAGCCTTGATACTTTGTTTCCTCTAGAATAGAATGTTAGTTCTAACCTGACAGCTGAGGGTTTAACAAGATGGTATAATCTCTATATTTTGTTTCTCCTTGAACAGACTATTAGTTCTAACAGGACAGTTTAGGCCTTAGCAAGATGGTATAGTCTCGATATTTTGTTTCTTCTTGAACAGAATGTTGTGGATGCTTTGCTCTCATTTTCTACTATGAGAATCCAGTTCCTTGTGGCCTGTAAATATGCATTGATTTTTTTTTTTCCTGTGACTTCTATTGGTTTCTTCAGGTAAAGCATAGGCCTCCAGGCAGGCCAGTTTGGCTTTTCAAGGGCTGGTTCAAGGACAGACCCTTCGGACTCAAACCCTATTCTCTTCCCTTCTCTTCCTTTTCACTAAGCCCTGTCACAACCCTCTGTCTGAGGGAGGGCCTGGGGTAAGAGTGGAATCATGGGGGTGGGGGCCAGAAGATCCCAGAGAGTGTCTTTGTCATAGACCAGAAGCCACCAGGGAAGCCACTTGCAACAGCCTGTTAAGTGTGAAGTGCAGAGTAGCATGTTGAGTGGGCTCATGCCAGTGGCCATGCTTCCATAGACATATGAGCAAAAAGGACGGGGTCTGCTGTGGAACATTGTCCAAACTAACCTCTCTGCCTGGATCCAAGCATATCGGTAAACAAAAAGGAACTTACTTGAATTGTGCATCTTAATAGTCTGAGCATAGGAATAAAGCATAATTTAAGAGAAAAAAATAAAAAACAGAGCTATGTCGTATCCCAGCACTGGGAAGGTAGAGGCAGAGGGATCTCTGTGAGTTCAAGACCAGCCTGGTCTACAGAGCCAGTTCCAGGACAGCCAAGGCTACACAGAGAAACCCTGTCTCGAAAAACCAAAAACCAGAAAGAGAGAGAGAGAGACAGAGAGAAAGAGGGAAAGAGACAGGGAGACAAAGAGGGGACTTTCGAGAAGAACAAGTTAAGTACAATTATACTAGTTCTGATTGGCTGGGTCCACATGATTGTTAAGGAACCCAGTGAGGTGGAAGGCAACCCTCACTTAGCATGATGAGGGTTCTGGGCTCTGATCACCTGCCTCCTGCAGGTCTGCAACTTGCTACCAATACCATTTCCTTTAGGCAGATGCTCTCCGACCTCCCATCGGGATGTAGATACTACACCCCAGTCAACACTGTCCGCAACTACCGCTGGGAGTTCCCATGGCAGAGAAGGCAGAAGAGCATAGCAGGGAAAGGCATTCCAAGGAGAAGCTGAGCTCATCTTCCGAGTGGATGGAGTCTGCTAAGCCTGCCACAGACAGTCTCACACACTTGGTGGGAGCTGGCCGGTCACCTTTGCAGGCTCCCCCCATCATATTTTGGACTTATAGCCAGGTGTGTCCCGAAGGTGTTATTTATATTCGTTTCTTAGTGATTTC